CCCCATGATGGCGGTGGGGTTATGGTATTGGCAGGCATAAGCTACAGACAACAAACACAATTGCATTTTATTGATGGCAATTTGAATGCACAGAGATACCATGACGGGATCCTGAGGCCCGTTGTTGTGCCATTCATCCACCACCATCACTTCATGTTTTAGCATGATAATGCACAGCCCCATGTCGCAAGGATCTGTACACAATTCCTGGAAGCTGAAAATGTCCCAGTTCTTCCATGGTCTGCATACTCACCAAACATGTCACCCATTGAGCATGTTTGGGATGCTCTGGATTGACGTGTACGACAGCAAGTTCCAGTTCCCGCCAATATCCACCAACTTCGCACAGCCATTGAAAAGGAGTGGGACAACATTCCACAGGCCACAATCAACAGCCTGATCAACTCTATGTGAAAGAGATGTGTCATGCTGCATGAGGCAAACTCAATCATCAAGTTTGCAGACGACACAACAGTAGTAGGCCTGATTACCAACAATGACGAGACAGCATACAGGGAGGAGGTGAGGGCCCTGGCGAGAAAAATAACCTCTCCCTCAATGTCAACAAAACGAAGGAGCTGTTTGTGGACTTCAGGAGACAGCAGAGGGAGCACGCCCCATCCACATCGATGAGACCACAGTCGAGAAGGTGAAAAGCTTCAAGTTCCTCAGTGTACACATCACTGACAATCTGAAATGGTCCACCCACACAAACAATGTGGGGAAGAAGGCGCAACAGTGCCGCTTCAACCTCAGGAGGCTGAAGAAATTAGTCTAGGCCCCTAAAACCCTCACAAACTTTTACAGATGCACCATTGAGAGCATCCTGTCGGGCTGCATCACCGCCTGGTACGGGAACTGCACCGCCCACAACCGCAGGGCTCTCCAGAGGGTGGTGCGGTCTGCCCAACGCATCACAGGGGGCACACCACCTGCGCTCCAGAACACCTACAGCACCCGATGTCACAGGAAGGCCAAAAAGATCATCAAGGACATCAACTATCCGAGCCATGGCCTGTTCATTCCGCTATCAACCAGAAGGCGAGGTCAATATTGGTGCATCAAAGCTGGGACCGAGAGACTGAAAAACAGCTTCTATCTCAAGGCCATTAAATAGTCATCACTAGCCGGCCTCCACCCAGTACCCTGCCTTGAACTTAGTCACTGTCACTAGCCGGCTACCACCCGGTTACTCATCCCTGCACCTTGGAAGATGCTGCCCTATGAACATAGACATGGAATCACTGGTCACTTTAATAATGGAACATTGGTCACTTTAATAATGGAACACTGGTCACTTTAATAATGGAACACTGGTCACTTTAATAATGTTTACATACTGTTTTACTCATTTCATATGTATATACTGTATTCTACTGTATTCTAGTCAATACCACTCCGACATTGCTTGTCTTAATATTTATATATTTCTTAATTCCATTCTTTTACTTTTAGATTTGTGTGTATTGTTGGGAAATGTTAGATGCAACTACACTGTTGGAGCTAGGAACACAAGCATTTCGCTACACCCGCATTAACATCTGTTAAATATGTGTATGCGACCAATACATTTAATTTGATTTGAAATGGTGGTTACACCAGATACTGACTACTTTTCAGATCCACACCCCTACCTTCTTTTTAAAGGTATCTGTGACCAACAGATGCATATCTGTATTCCCAGTCATGTGAAATCCATAGATGAGGGCCTTATGAATTTATTTCAATTGACTGTTTTCCTTATATGAACTGTAACTCAGTAAAACCTTTGACATTGTTGCATGTTGCGTTTATATTTTTGTTCCTTATAAATGGGCTATTGTGTGTAGATGGATGAGAAAAAACAAACAATTTTGAATTCAGGCTGTAACACATTTTCTTTTGTAATAAGTGAAGGGGTATTAATACTTTCTGAAGGCACTGTATCTGTGTCAAACAAGCAAACCTAATCCTCTAAGCTTTAATAAACTTTGCTTGTTCTTTATCTGCCTCTGTAGTGTTTCCCTTGAATGGGTCTAGAACCTGTGTCTAATGTTTAGATGTTACAATTGTAATACAAATGTTATATTTTTGCTAAGATATTGTTTGGTCTGTTGCATTGCTCAGAACTTTTGACCCAACTCAATAGGTGGCCCGTCATGAACCTGTGTGTGTTATGTTCTGGTTGAGTTGTTCCCCTTATTAAACAGTAATTGGTAGTTGTGCCATTTTTGTGCCCTAGTCGGCAGGTGTTACTACAATATACTACACTCATGTCCGGAAAAAAACACTACAGTGAATACTATAGTATATAAATATAATACTACTGTATTTAGACCCTAGTATACTATAGTATTTTTTCATGTGGGTTAGCTGTAAATGTGTAACATGTTTGATGTTTGAACTAGGACCACAGTGGAAATCAATGTTAAACTTTTTTTTTTTATTCTCATCAAATGTCTAAATGCATTATATCCACATTTGTGGTTATATTGTGTTTTAAATAGTCAAATAAAATCAATCAAGGGATACTACAGTGTGGAGTATAGTATTCTACAGTATACTACACAATTCTATAGTAAGCACTACACGATCAAGGGCATGCGCTCCAGCACGTTCAAATCAAAACCACATTGACAAAGCTAGCAACTAGCAGTAAAGCTAGCTAGCAGTCCAATCGATCAAAACATTTGAAAGTAAGCACCATGTGATCGAGGGATACTACAGTGTGTAGTATAGTATTCTAAAGTATACTACAAAATTCTGAAGTAAGTACTACATGATCGAGGGATACTACAGTGTGTAGTATAGTATTCTCCACTGTTCTACAAAATTCTAAAGTAAGCGCTACATGATTGAGGGATACTAAAGTGTGTAGTATAGTATACTACAGTATACTACAAAAGTCTATAGTAAGCACTACACGATTGAGGGATACTACAGTCTACAGTGTTGAGTATAGGATTCTACAGTATACTACAGTATACCACAATTTACTACAGAATTATATAGAATTATACAGTAAGTACTATAGTGTTATATAGTAAAATGTAGTATTTTTTTATGTGGACTTGCCTATAATGAAGAGACTGTCACCTCACACTAAGATGCTAGTGAAGAGGGCCTCTTTGCATGGAGGAATTGGCATGCATGAACCTACAGTGCATTCGGAAAGTATTCAGACCCCTTTACTTTTTCCAGATTTTGTTACATTACAGCCTTATTCTAAACTTAATTAAATAAATATTTTTCCTCCTCAATCTACACACAATACCCCATAATGACAAAGCGAAAAACAGTTTATTTTTACATTTTTGCAAATGTATTAAAAATAAAAAACTGAAATCCCTTATTTACTTAAGTATTCAGACCCTTTGCTATGAGACTCGAAATTGAGCTCAGGTGCTTCCTCTTTCCATCATCCTTGAGATGTTTCTACAACTTGATTGTAGTCCACCTGTGGTAAATTCAATTGATTGTACATGATTTGGAAAGACACACACCAGTCTATGTAAGGTCCCACAGTTGACAGTGCTTGTCAGAGCAAAAACCAAGCTATGAGGTCGAAAGAATTGTCCGTAGAGCTCAGAGACAGGATTTTGTCGAGGCACAGATCTGGGGAAGGGTACCAAATAATTTCTGCAGCATTGAAGGTCCCCAATAACACAGTGGCCTCCATCATTCTTAAATGGAAGAAGTTTTGAACCACCAAGACTCTTCCTAGACCTGGCCGCCAAGCCAAACTGAGCAATCGGGAGAGAAGGGCCTTGGTCAGGGAGGTGACCAAGAACCTGATGGACACTCTGAAGGAGCTCCAGAGTTCCTCTGTGGAGATGGGAGAATCTTCCAGATGGACAACAATCTCTGCAGCACTCCACCAATCAGGCCTTTATGGTAGAGTGGCCAGACGGAAGCCACTCCTCAGTAAAAGGCACATGACAGCCCGCTTGGAGTTTGCCAAAAGGCACATAAAGACTCTCAGACCATGAGAAACAAGATTCTCTGGTCTGATGAAACCAAGACTGAACTCTTTGGCTGAATGCCAAGCGTCACATTTTTTTATATTTTAGTCATTTAGCAGACACTCTTATCCAGAGTGACTTACAGTTAAGTAAGTGCATACATCTTGTTTTCATACTGGCCCCCCCGTGGGAAACGAACCCACAACCCTGGCGTTGCAAGCGCCATGCTCTACCAACTGAGCTACAGGAGGAAACCTGGCACCATCCCTACAGTGAAGCATGGTGGTGGCAGCATCATACTGTGGGGATGTTTTTCAGCGGCAGGGACTGGGAGACTAGTCAGGATTGAGGGAAAGTAGAGAGATCCTTGATGAAAACTGCTCCAGAGCGCTCAGGACCTCAGACTGGGGCGAAGGTTCGCCTTCCAACAGGACAACGACCCTAAGCACACAGCCAAGACAACGCAGGAGTGGCTTCAGGACAAGTCTCTGAATGTCCTTGAGTGGCCCAGCCAGAGCCCGGACTTGAACCCGATCAAACATCTCTGGAGAGACCTGAAAATAGCTGTGCAGTGGCGCTCCCCATCCAACCTGACAGAGCTTGAGAGGATCTGCAGAGAAGAATGGGAGAAACTCCCTAAATACAGGTGTGCCAATACCCAAGAAGAATCGAGGCTGTAATCGCTGCCAAAAGTGCTTCAACAAAGTACTGAGTAAAGGGTCTGAATACGTATTTAAATGTGATATTTCAGATTTTATTTGTAATTCATTTGCTAACATAACCTGTTTTTGCTTTGTCATTATGGGGTATTGTGTATAGATTGATGAGGGGAAAAAACTATTTAATCCATTTTAGAATAAGGCTGTAACGTAAGACAATGTGAAAAAGGTCAAGGGGTCTGAATACCTTCTGAATGCACTGTTTGTAGGAGAATGAGAGGTGCTGTGGGGTTAGGGTTGGTGTTCGTCCGTCACTGTCAATACCTAGCTAGCTGTTTGAGCCGTGACTTAAAACCCATTGTGTGGGTAGGTGTGATGTGGGTTAAGGGTTTGGACAGGGCTAGCTGGTCTCCTTACCCTGCAGCAAGGAAGCCATGAAGGCAGTAGTTACGCTGGCTGAGCAGAGGAGAGCAGCGTGGCTGAGGAACATATCTCCCTCCAGTACCCAGCCCAAGACCACCGCTGCCAGGGCAGCCAGGAGACCCAGCACTGTGGCTTGCATCTGGAGAAAGAAAACATTCTTTGGGCCAGACACTAGGCATTTGTTAGAGCTAAGAAGTACAAATAAAGGTTTGAGGGATATCTTTAAAGTAACTTTCCAGTGAAAATCTCACTTTTAAAAGTTAATATTCTGTTAACTCATACCTAAATAATGTTGTTGATACTATACTCGTATTTGTGGCCAAAGAATGAATTGGAGAAAAAAACACTTAAAAAACCCCACCTCAAACAGACCATTTCAAAAATGCTTGCCATTTCCTCATAGAGGATGATGTCATCCTCTTGAAGAGGATGAGCTGGCCAGTCAGCGGTCTATTCACATGAATATTTTTTATGACCGGTATACGCCCACACCATTCTGTTGTTGGGGTACGCCCACACCATTCCAACACAGAAAAGCTGCTTCTTAAAATACCTAATTAACATATTTTGGAAGGAAAACTATTTCACTCATATTGGAGTTAATTATAGATCATATTTCATAGAAATCTGGAAACACTGGACAGTATAGCCATAAAGCAAATTACCTGTTTTAGTGCCAGGTTCCCAATAATCAAACTCCATTTCTCTCTGGCTGTCTCCATTTCCCCCACGTTCACCTGACAAGGACAAAATCATAAATGTTATTATCTTTTCTCAGTGTAAAAATCCCCTATTTAGTCTTGACTAATGCATCAACATACAGTGCATTCGGAAAGTATTCAGACCTCTTGACTTTTTCCACATTTTGTTACGTTACAGCCTTATTCTAAAATTGTCACGATCGTCTAGTAGTGAAGTAGACCAAGGCGCAGCGTGTAAAAGAAACATGACTTTATTATATTAAAGTATCTAAATATAAACAAAACACGACTCGTGAAGTCCACGGTTACACTGACCGAATAAGGAACAAAAACCCACAAACACAAGGTGAACACAGACAGTTTAAATATGGCTCCCAATCAGAGACAACGAGCCAACAGCTGACACTCGTTACCTCTGATTGGGAGTCACTCAAACAAAGAAATACAACAACCTAGAAATAGACACAACAGAACTACCAACATCGAAATAAACACATAGAATGAACACACCCTGGCTCAACATAATGAGTCCCAGAGCCAGGGTGTGACAGTACCCCCCCCTAAAGGCGAGGACTGCGACCGCGCCTCAACTAAACAAAACAGGGGAGGGCTGGGCGGGCATACCTCCTCGGCGGTGGTTCTGGCTCCGGCCTTGACCACCACCTCCTCTCCAACCCCCCAAAGTACCCCTGGTCCTGTCTAGCCCCGCTGGCCGGAGCCGGACTGACGACACTTGCCCCTGGCTTGGTGCGTGGAACAGGAATGGACCGGAATGGGCTGGCGACGCGCACCACAGACTTGGTGCGGAGAGCAGGAACGAGCCGGACAGGGCTGACGACGCACCCCGTAGGCTTGGTGCGTGGAGGAGGAACGGGCCTTACCAGGCTGACGACTCGCACCCCTGGCTTTGTGCGTGGAGGAGGAACGGGCCTTACCAGGCTGACTTCTCGCACCCCTGGCTTAGTGCGAGTGGCAGGAACAGGCCGGACCGGGCTGGCGACGCGTACCGTAGGTTTGGTGCGAGTGGCAGAAACAGGCCGGGTCGGGCTGGCGACGCGCACCGTAGGTTTGGTGCGAGTGGCAGGAACAGGCCGGGTCGGGCTGGCGACGCGCACCGTAGACTTGGTGCGGGTGGCAGGAACAGGCCGGACCGGGCTGGCGACGCGCACCGTAGACTTGGTGCGGGTGGCAGGAACAGGCCGGGTCGGGCTGGCGACGCGCACCGTAGACTTGGTGCGGGTGGCAGGAACAGGCCGGACCGGGCTGGCGACGCGCACCGTAGACTTGGTGCGGGTGGCAGGAACAGGCCGGGTCGGGCTGGCGACGCGCACCGTAGACTTGGTGCGGGTGGCAGGAACAGGCCGGACCGGGCTGGCGACGCGCACCGTAGGTTTGGTGCGTGGAGCAGGGACAGGCCGGGCTGGGCTGGCGACGCACCCCGTAGGCTTAGTGCGTTGAGCAGGGACAGGCCGGGCTGGGCTGGCGACGCACACCGTAGGTTTGGTGCGTGGAGCAGGGACAGGCCGGGCTGGGCTGGCGACGCACCCCGTAGGCTTAGTGCGTTGAGCAGGGACAGGCCGGGCTGGGCTGGCGACGCACACCGTAGGCTTAGTGCGTTGAGCAGGGACAGGCCTGGCTGGGCTGGCGACGCACACCGTAGGTTTGGTGCGTGGAGCAGGGACAGGCCGGGCTGGGCTGGCGACGCACCCCGTAGGCTTAGTGCGTTGAGCAGGGACAGGCCGGGCTGGGCTGGCGACGCACCCCGTAGGCGTGGTGCGTGGAGCAGGGACAGGCCGAACCGGGCTGTGGAGACGGATAGGAGACCTGGAGTGAAGAGCGGCCACCACCCGTCCTGGCTGAATGCCTACCCTCACACACTCTGTGTGAGGCATCCGCACAGGACGTACAGGGCGGTGTACCCCTGGCCTGGTGGCCTCCTGGATTCGCCCCATCTTTGCCTCCGTCAGCCCCGTCGTCCATGCCGTGTGCCCCCCCCTAAAAATTTCTTGGGGTTGCCTCTCGACCCTCCGACGCTGCTCCCACGTCCAGGTTGCCTGTTCCTGGACACGCTGCTTGGTCCTGGTATGGTGGGTTTTTCTGTCACTATCGTCTAGTAGCGAAGTAGACCAAGGCGCAGCGTGTGAAAGAAACATGACTTTATTATATTAAAGTATCTAAATATAAACAAAACACGACTCGTGAAGTCCACGGTTACACTGACCGAATAAGGAACAAAAACCCACAAACACAAGGTGAACACAGACAGTTTAAATATGGCTCCCAATCAGAGACAACGAGCCAACAGCTGACACTCGTTACCTCTGATTGGGAGTCACTCAAACAAAGAAATACAACAACCTAGAAATAGACACAACAGAACTACCAACATCGAAATAAACACATAGAATGAACACACCCTGGCTCAACATAATGAGTCCCAGAGCCAGGGTGTGACAAAAATGTACTAAATTGTTTTTTTCCCCTCATCAATCTACACACAATACCCCATAATGACAAAGCAAAAACAGGTCCCTGTCGCTGAAAAACATCTCCACAGCATGATGCTGCCACCACCATGCTTCACCGTTTTCACAGACGTGACGCTTGGCATTCAGGCCAAAGAGTTCAATCTTGGTTTCATCAGACCAGAGAATCTTATTTCTCATGGTCTGAGAGTCTTTATGTGCCTTTTGGCAAACTCCAAGTTGGCTGTCATGTGCCTTTTACTGAGGAATGGCTTCCGTCTGGCCACTCTACCATAAAGGCCTGATTGGTGGAGTGCTGCAGAGATGGTTGTCCTTCTGGAAGGTTCTCCCATCTCCACAGAGGAACTCTAGAGCTCTGTCAGAGTGACCATCGGGTTCTTGGTCACCTCCTTGACCAAGGTCCTTCTCCCCCGATTGCTCAGTTTGGCCGGGCGGCCAGCTCTAGGAAGAGTCTTGGTGGTTCTAAACTTCTTCCATTTAAGAATGATGGAGGCCACTGTGTTCTTGGGGACCTTCAATGCTGCAGAACTGTTTTGGTACCCTTCCCCAGATCTGTTCCTCGACACAATCCTGTCTCGGAGCTCTACGGACAATTCCTTCGACCTCATGGCTTGGTTTTTGCTCCGACATGCACTGTCAACTGTGGGGACCTTAAATAGACAGGTGTGTGCCTTTCCAAATAATGTCCAATCAACTGAATTTACCACAGGTTGACTCCAATCAAGTTGTAGAAACATCTCAAGGATGATCAATGGAAACAGGATGCACCTGAGCTCAATTTCGAGTCTCATAGCAAAGGGTCTGAATACTTATGTAAATAAGGTATTTCAGTTGTTTTTTAAATATACATTTGCAAAATTGTAAAAATAAACTGTTTTTCGCTTTGTCATTATCGGGTATTGTGTGTAGATTACTGAGGGAAAACATTTATTTAATCAATTTTAGAATAAGGCTGTAACGTAACAAAATGTGGAAAAGGTCAAGGGGTCTGAATACTTTCCGAAGGCACTGTATTTGTGTCATGAGTATGACCATTCATTAGGCCTGACAGCTAGGAGAGGTAAATGGCGGCAAAAATGGATGGCGGCAAATGTTTACTTTTAAACGCAGACAAAACAGAGATGCTAGTTCTAGGTCCCAAGAAACAAAGAGATCTGCTGAATCTCTATTGTTGTGCAGTCGTCTCAAATAAAACTGTAAAGGACCTCAGCGTTACTCTGAACCCTGATCTCTCTTTTGACAAACATATAGAAAATATTTCAAGGGCAGATATTTTCCATCTTCGTAACATTGCAAAAATCTGAAAAATGTTGTCCAAATATTATGCAGAAAAGCTCATCCATGCTTTTGTCACTTCAAAATTAGACTACTGCAATGTGCTACTCTCCGGCTACCCAGATAAGGCACTAAATAAACAGCTAGTTTTAAATCCGGCTGCTAGAATCTTGACTAAAACCACAAATTTGATCATATTAATCCAGTGCTAGTCTCTCTACAGTGGCTTCCTGTTAAGGCTTGGGCTGATTTCAAGGTTTTACTTTTAACCTACAAAGCATTACATGGACTTGCTCCTACCTATCTCTCTGATTTGGTCCTGCCATACATACCTACACGTACGTTACGGTCACAAGACGCAGGCCTCCTTATTGTTCCTAGAATTTCTAAGCAAACAGCAGGAGGCAGGGCTTTCTCCTATAGAGCTAAATTTTTATGGAATGGTCTGCCGATCCATGTGAGAGACATAGACTCGTCTTTACTGAAGACTCATCTCTTCAGTAGGTCCTATGATTGAGTGTAGTCTGGCCCAGGGGAGCGAGGTGAACGGCAAAGCACTGGAGTGACGAACCACCCTAGCTGTCTTTGCCTGGCCGGCTCCCCTCTCTCCACTGGGATTCTCTGCCTCTGACCCTACTACAGGGCCTGAATCACTGGCTTGCTCGCGCTTTCCCATGCAGTCCCTAGGAGGGGTGCATCATATAATGCCAGGCTTTTTTCACTATACTTGACTTGAGTGGGTTGAGTCACTAACGTGATCTTCCTGTCTAGTTTTGCGCCCCCTTGGGCTTGTGCAGTGGGAGAGATCTTTGTGGGCTATACTCGGCCTCAGAGTCACAATCTATCGATCTAAGGGTAGTCAGTTAGTGGTCTGTTGATATCCCTTTGGTGGTGTGGGGGCTGTGCTTTGGCAAAGTGGGTGGGGTTATATCCTACCTGGTTGGCCCTGTCCGGCGGTAACGTTGAACGGGGCCACAGTGTCCCCCGACTCCCATTGTCTCTGTTCCCAATATCTATGCTGCAATAGTCTACGTGCCGGAGGGCTAGGGTCAGTCTGTCCTATCTGGTGTAATTATCCTGTCTTATCTTGTGTCCTGTGTGATCTTAGGTATGCTCCCTCTAATTCTCCTCTCTCTCTCTTTCTCTCTCTCTCTCTCTCTCTCTCTCTCTCTCTCTCTCTCTCTCTCTCTCTCTCTCTCTCTCTCTCTCTCTCTCTCTCTCTCTCGCTCTCTCTTTCTGACCCTGCTGGTAATCTATGAACGTTTGAACATCTTGAATAACGATCTGGCCTTAATGGTCATCTACTCTTATAATCTCCACCCGGCACAGCCAGAAGAGGACTGGCCACACCTCAGAGCCTGGTTCCTCTCTAAGTTTCTTCCTAGGTTCCTGCCTTTCTAGGGAGTTTTTCCTAGCCACCATGCTTCTACATCTGCATTGCTTGCTCTTTGGGGTTTTAGGCTGGGTTTCTGTATAAGCACTTTGTGAAAACTGCTGATATAAAAAGGGCTTTATAAATAAATGTGATTGATCTTTCTCTCTCATCATAAACGTATTAACACCCATATTCATACTGTATAAATGATGAGTGGGAGAGCCTAAGTTACTAGAGCGGTCATGCATTCTCGAATCAGAAGCAGAAAATGCTCCATCATGCCAGTCAACAGATTGTTAAGTCGGTGGTCAAAAGTCCAATAACACACCATACATCCTGTATGCACAATACATGGTTAGGGAGGGTAGATTCAGAGTCATATATGCAGTATAGATTGTAGTCACATTAGTCCAGTCTTGTACTGCAGGGAGTTGTGCAGGGCTATTTTCTTCACTGGCGATTGAGGACTTTCACACAGGGACAGAGAATTCACAATACAAGAGAGAAACAATGTAAGGAATGGACTTCCCACTGTGTTGGGGTATGGATTGATTGTGTGTGTGTGTGTGTGTGTGTGTGTGTGTGTTCATGTACTCACTGCTGTTGAAAGTCTGGAGGCCAGGGTCATCTCCAGGTTTCCTTTCAGGCCCAGTAGAGCTGGCACCAGGATGAAGATCTCTGTGACTCTCTGGAACACCTCCCAATGCTGCCACAACAACACACAGTGGAATAATACACCAACATATCATGCAATAGACTGACACATGATGCAGTGGACACACCAACACCCAATAAACTAGACAGACCAATACACAATGCAACAGAATCAACATACAGACACTCAATACAATACATGAACATACCATGCAGTAGACACACCAACACATAATGTAAGAATAAATAAACAAATACAGACACCGTGCAATTTATCAGTACCTCACCTGAACTACGTCCAGTAACATCCCAGCTGACACCGTCCCCAGTCCAGCCAGTAGGAAGGGCACCAGTATCTGCAGAACCATGGACCTGACGGACTCACTGGGCACCTCTCTGACACCATCCTGGGCACTACAATCCTCTGGGTCCTTCTCCATAACTTCCTCATTGACCTTGGAGCCAGGCATGTGTCCATTGATGAAAAGTGGGTCTGTCTCGGTGTATGGACAGAGTTCATTAAAGGGGCTGCTGTTGGATGGGGACTGAGCTCTATTTGGGAGTCGTTGGTGACCCCCTAGATAGTGTGCATCTGGGGCTGGGCAGGACCCATAGTGGTGCCTGTTGTGTTTTCCTGCGTCAACGGTGTCCCTCTGGGCCAGTTGGTCATCCTGTGGCCCAGTGTTGGCCATCAGAACAATGATGTGTCCTGCGGGAGTTAGACACTCCTTCTGCTACTCCGAAGAAAGGGTAAGTTGATATGACTGGGTCAAAGAAAACCAGCAGGAGGTAATTAGACAGTTACAGTATGTATCATCCTTGATATTGATGTTATCACTGAACACTCCTGGTACTAGTCATGAACTACTGGCAAGAAATAAAAATAATGAATTAACTTGTTGCTGCGTAAGAAGTGTGGCAAAGGTAGGATTAGTGTGTAATTTAACACACTTGTGATGCACAGACACAGATAAATGACTAAGATGCATGCCATCTCTACACGTGAGTATGTAAGACAGACAAGCATACAAGAGAGTCATGGCTACAGCACGACAAATGCATAACATCTAATGCTTGTATGGTATAATTGGTTAGGCATTCTCCCACATACTCAGGGGTTTTCCATGCCATTACAAAGCCCCTTGTCAGACATGGAAACAATGTGAGGCCTCATGGTTCTAGCAGTCACACAATAGCCAAACCAATTGAGGAGACATTCAATTCATTATTTGGTAAGTCCAAATTGCATAGAAATATCTCGTCGTATCCAACAATGTATGTCTGAAAAATGGCAGACACTTTCAAAACATTCAAAGTGGCTGTGAGTCTATCTGGAAGTGAGTGAGAGTAAGTAAATCAATGACTTGTTCTTTTGTAAGTAATTTGCAGTTATCCACTAATTTGGTCTGAAGTTGAAAACATGTAACACACAAGAGAAAAACACTTACAAGTTCCAAGTGGTAGTACGTTAAGAGAAAAAGGTGACTTACCTAAAGTGTAAAACCATAGCATATTAGAGATGTGAGAGAAGAAGAAATAGATTTTGGAGAAGTAGATACTCCAGCGTTGTTCTTTCACTCTGCTTATTCTGTCCATGAATGTTTTCCTCTTCCCCTGAATGGCTGAAGCTCCTTCATAGCTATATCATTGCTCTCTCTCTCTCTCTCTCTCTCTCTCTCTCTCTCACACACACACACACACACACCCACACACTGTGAGGAAATCCCTCCTGATTGAGCTGGTCTGTGGTTCACTGACAACAATCTCCTCTCAAAGAGATGATGCAACCTCCAGAGTATTCCAAACAGAGGACTTTATTGACATAATGTGGATTGGAATGGTCTACACAAGAATAGAAATAGGAATGAATATGTGATCACATGTATAACAAACCTAATAGCAGAGAAGAGTACCACTGAATAGAACAGTATGAATGGATTAATGATAATAAGAAACAAGAATAGCAGGAGTAAAGCTCTGTATATAAAATAGTGGACTATAATACAGTAATACATGAGAGAAAAGGACTGTATTGGGAACGGAATAGATGATTAATAGGCATTAGAAAAGTGTGACTAATTATAGAAGACAATAATCACAAGGATAACACCGTAAGTCGCTCTGGATAAGAGCGTCTGCTAAATGACGTAAATGTAAATGTAAATGTTGAGGGAAAAAATGATGTCTGGAACTGAGGCCTATATTTATACCCTTGTAAGAGCATGGATAGGGCTAACTGACCAATAGGAATCTAGAAACAGTGCTTAGGGCATGCACATGGGTGAGGTGCATGGCTACAAAATTATTGGCTAAGGTCACAATCTATCGATCTCTGATGTGAGGGGGGAGAGAGGCGCCACCAAACAAATAAACAACTAAGATGCACATGCCCATAATGTCCAGGAGGGACACACACATAGTTCTCTTTCCACATGGTGATGTTGTTTCAAAAGAAAAGTATGCCACCTGGTGTAAACAATGATGTTATGACAGACAAAGTGATGAGAGGAGTTACCGGTAGTTAATAATAAATCCCCCTAGAGTCGATTTCTGCTGCCCGGCAGAAATGTAATTAGCATAATAAAAAAATCTCCATCAAAATCCGTCAATTTAAGATAGAGATTGGATGCTTCTCAATCCACCACATCCGTGTATGTCGCACTTCCGCATCTGCGGTGAAAGGTGGCAGAGCTAGAGCAGTGTTTGTCAGACCATGAGACTATCCAGAAAATCAAATCGGTCTTCTCACTAAAACGTCTGAAGCGTCCGAACGGTTTGGCCTACAAACTATTATTATGTACCCCTCTATGGAAAGATGAGTCTCTCACGAACACGGACATGTCGGTTGTTTTGCGGTTGTTTTGCTCTAGGATGCTCACAAGCCTCACAAGACATATCTGAAGGTTCCCATATACCAGTTTAAAAAATGAATGGAAGTATATATGGACATAGTTTAGTGCCAAAAATACGGGGTTAAATACATGAAAAAAAGAAGAGTAGTTTCCTGATCTTTCTTATACCTCTCAGATATAGGACAGACACTTCAGAACAAACTTCGTTTAGATTTTTTGGGGGGACTATCTGTTGTTCCATGTACTGAATCTGTTATTCAATGTGTTTGTATGGGCTAATAGCGGTAAGGCCAAATGCAATGTTTCATCAAATAATTGTTTACAATTCAAAATCAAATAGCTAAATTATCCTTGGTATGACCTTCTTAAAACAATTATTTATAGCTTAGTAGACCCCTGTCTTTTTGTTGTCACGGCCTTATTGTATATCACGGTGGAGTATGAACAAATGGGTTATAAAGCAAACAACGCAAATATCACAATATAGGTTGTAATATGGCTTTTTTACTGGCTCGGCTTGGCTTTCCCAGTGATTTTACCCAGGCACCACTCCGGGGCTACGGATCTTTGGTAGGCCTAATATTCTCATACCATTGTGTTAAATAACCTATGGTATGATCATGACACAATAAAATAGGCTATATACATTTAAGGCAAAAAAAAAAAATATTTCTCATTGTTGTATGGATATGTAATTGTCAATGATAAACCATAGTGTATATCAATTAGAGTAGTATCCCCAACCCACCTGTACCAAAGACAGTACAGGTTTAGAAACTCTGCGCCTGTACAGTATTTTGTAAAAACTACATTACCCATAAACATCCTGAAGTCATGGGGCAAATCATGGGATTCACGTTCACTTTCTCCAACCGATACCGCTAAAGTCAGTGGAGCAATCGGACTGCGATGGCGGTGGAGGCGATTTCTCCTGACTGGGAATTCGATCGATTTGACGATGGGTCTACAAGTAAGTAGCTTTTAGTTAGCTTGTTAACTATCCGGATAGAAAAGTATGATTTGCTTTCTCGTCAAATTCGCATGGACTTGAAGCCAGGCTAATTAGCTTGAGTGGCTAGCCACTTACGTTAGCTAGTTGTCTGGACCAGCTTCGCTTTGCCTGAGCTGCAATGTTTTTGTTTTCTTACCAGAAGCTAACGTTAAAGCTCCTGTCAAATGTCAGAAGTAAGCCAGTTAGCTAGCTAGCTAGCTAGGTAATTGATTATATTTTGCAGTGGTTGGTTAATAGTTATAGCAAAACGTCTTCCTAATCCTAGTGTTGTTGTTGCACAATACTGGCCAGCAACAGGCCTGTCTCTTCCTTGGCTTTTTCCTCAACTGGCTGTCATGTTGAATTCATTATCTAGGTAACCATTGCCTCACACAGCTAGATTTTCAGGAAAGTTACTGTGCACTTTTGACCCATAAATAAAAAAGCAATCTCGACCAATTCTGTTAGCCACGTAGCTAGCTAACATAGACACATTATTGGCCAGGTCGCAGTTGTAAATGAGAACTTGTTCTCAACTGGCTTACCTGGTTAAATAAAGGTGAAATAAAATATAAAAATACATTCCTCTCACCTGCTCCTCATCAGCAAACAGTTCATTCAGATGATTGACAGTTGAGTTGACAGGAGGCTACAGTACAGGCATCACAGTAGTGCTGTAACTTAGAAGCTAGTGCATCCAAAGTGTATCCTCTATCTTCCAGATTTACATTGCTGTGCTGCTAATCTTATGATCATGTTTTGTCTGTTTGTTCCTCCAGAGATCCACACGGAGGTGCAGCAGAAGAACTATGGGAAGTTTCTGGAGGAGTACACCTCTCAGCTGAAAGGCATCGAGGACGCTCTCGATGACTCCATAGGAGACGTTTGGGACTTCACCCTGGACCCCATAGCCCTGAAGGTATCTCTCCCTCTCTCATCCTGACATTCACCCAGGTTAACTTTCCAAAGACAGTTTCCTGCTGGAACTGAATCTGGGCCAGTTTTCCACTGCTCCTGTTTTGGCTGCAGTCAGTGTCATGACATTCGGGATCATGTTGACTTAGAATGGAGCACGAAAATCACTTAAGTGACCTTCGGTGATGGTGACCACCATAATAGAATGAATGGAACAGACAGCTCTATCGAGAATCATAGAGCATGGATTTTGATTGGACTGTCCATTATACATTTTCCATTATTCTATGGGGATTCTATGGGGACATGAAACTAACCAATTTTTTGATCCTCTTCCTCTTTCAGCTTCTCCCATATGAACAGTCCTCGTTGTTGGAACTGATTAAAACAGACAACAAGGTAAATGAAGCCAAGATAAACTATCCTCAGACATTTGAGTTATGAAACTGTAATAATAGTTAATTAAACCAGAAATATATTTGTTTCATGTATGTAATTATGTCAGTGAAGTATTGTAAATCCCTAGCAGCACGTTGCTATGAATTTGCTGGCTGTGATCCAGGAGATCATAATGAAGTCTTGCAATTTTACCAAGAAGGGAACGGGACTAAGATTGCAACTCAAATGTACAAGTGTGCAGTTGATATTCTTTCTGTCTTTGCTCTCCACAGGTTCTGAACAAAGTCATTACAGTGTACGCAGCCCTCTGCAGTGAGGTTAAAAAGCTGAAGTATGAGGTAAGAATGATGTTTCTTCATTGATAAAAGGTCTTGTTCAACTTTAACTGTACACTGTGTGTGTTCTTTGCACATGCAAATATTTCAGGAAGTCTGCTTGGCAGCGAGCCATTTCAACAGTTTTTGATGTATACAACATACAGTACAGCATGTGCCTTTGTCTCCCTCTGTAGGGGGAAAACAAGTTCTACAACGGCTTGCTGTACTATGGTGAAGGAGGTAATCATCTGTTATTTATGTAGCTGATTTGATTCTTAAGCTTATGTGCACTTATAAATCTCTATCTCTTTACCTCTGAATTATTGTTATTTTTTGTCTAACTAACTGTGTGTGTGTGTGTGTGTTCCAGTGTCCGACAGCAGTGTGGTTGAAGGAGAGTCACAGGTTCAGATGGGCCGGTTCATCTCCTTCTTTCAGGTCAGTATGATGGAGTAAAACTGAGGAATTACCTAGGGGGGATTTATTGTAGTTCTAGGAATGTCCCTCCCTTTATCTCTCCATTTCTCCTCCTCATCCTCTATTTCTCTGCTGTAGGAGCTGTCCTGTTTTGTGTCGCGGTGCTTTGAGGTGGTGGTCAACATTGTCCATCAGCTGGCGGCACTCTACAACAGCAACAAGTAAGACATGGACTCATCTCGGCACCCAGAACCAAATCTCATATGTGCGCCAACCACTAGACATGGACACATGCACACCCATGCAGACACACACACATTTACTGGAGCTTTATATTTACTCTTATTCATCTTTCAGGGGAGCCACAAAAATCATTGAGTCGTCCGGAGTTCATTTTCAGACAGTGTATGAGCACCTGGGGGAGCTGTTGGTGGTTCTACTCACTCTGGATGAGATCATGGAGAATCACGGCACCCTGAAAGACCACTGGAAGATGTACAAGAGGTACGCACACACAAACAGACAGATGCATGATGATACACAGAAAGGTAAAGGAAATATATGTATTTAGTCTCTCTTCCTTCCTAGGTTACTGAAGTCAGTGCATCATAACCCTGGGAAGTTTGCCATCCCAGAGGAGAAGCTGAAGCCATTTGAGAAGCTGCTTCTGAAGCTCGAGGGACAGCTGCTGGACGGCATGATATTCCAGGTGTGTACGCCCCTCAGTCCTTTCATGTTGGTGACATCACTTCCTGGTGAAGGATACTTGGGTCTCATTCAATATGCATGACGGTTTCAGATTTTTTTTCTGTACACCTTGCTGAAAGGGGGTACTACTGCTACTCCTGAACTCACCCATGACGTTTCTGTCTGTCTGTGTGTATGTTGGCCAGGCGTGTGTGGAGCAGAGGTTTGACGACCCAGGAGAGGGAGTGTCGGTCTCTAAAAACAGTGCCTTCGCTGAAGAGTTTGCCCTCAACATCCGCACTATATTCACCAACGTGGAGTCCAAGATCGGTCAGTCTCTTTGGTCAATCTACAATAGGCATTGTACTGTAAATGCAAATACTGCGACTAGTACAGTCTTCTTTGCACATTTCAGCATTGTTGTTTACTGGACAGAAAATGAAGGTCGAAATCTTGTGTATATTTAGTTAGTTTGTGTCTCTGGGGTGTGTTTTTAGGCGAGCCCTCAGAGATAGACCAGAGGGATAAGTATGCTGGGGTCTGTGGACTTTATGTTCTTCACTTTCACGTCTTCAGAACTGTCGACAAGAAGCTCTACAAAGCCCTGCTAGACATCTGCAAAAAGGTGTGTGTTTGACTTAAGGTTCTGTAGTTTTATTTGTGTGTGTGAACATACACTGAACAAAAATATAAACGCAACATTAAAAAAAATATGTAAACATGAAAAGTGTTGGTCACATGTTTCATGAGCTGAAATAAAATATCCCAGAAATTGTCCATATGCACAAAAAGCTTACTTCTCTAAAATGTTTTGCACAAATTTGCTTACATCCCTTTTAGTGAGCATTTCTCTTTTGCCAAGATAATCCATCCACCTGACCGGTGTGGCATATCAAGAAGCTGATTAAACAGCATGATCATTACACAGGTGCACCTTGTACTGGAGACCATAAAAAGCCACTCTAAAATGTGTAGTTTTGCCACAGATGTCTCAAGTTTTGAGGGAGTTTGTAATTGGCGTGCTGACTAAAGGAATGTCCACCAGAACTGTTGCCAGATAATTGAATGTTCATTGCTCTACCATAAGCTGCCTCCAACGTCATTTTAGAGAATTTGGCAGTACGTCCAATTGACCTCACAACTGCAGACCACGTGTAACCACGCCAGCCCAGGACCTCCACTTCCGGCTTCTTCACCTGCGGGATGGTCTGAGACAAGCCACACGGACAGCTGATGAAACTGTGGGTTTGCACATCCGAAGAATTTCTGCACAAACTGTCAGAAACCATCTCAGGGAAGCTCATCTGCGTGCTCGTCGTCCTCACCAGGGTCTTGACCTGACTGCAGTTTGGCGTTGTAACTTTGTGGGCAAATGCTCACCTTCGATGGCCACTGGCACGTTGGAGAAGTGTGCTCTTCACAGATGGCAGACGTATGGCGTCGTGTGGGCGAGTGGTTTGCTGATGTCAACATTGTGAAAAGAGTGCCCCATGGTGTCGGTGGGATTATGGTATGGGCTGGCATAAGCTACGGACAACGAACACAATTGCATTTTATCTAGTTCAATTTGAATGGATAGATATACCGTGACGAGATCCTGAGGCCCATTGTCGTGCCATTCATCCGCCGCCATCACCTCGTGTTTCAGCATGATAATGCACGGTCCCATGTCGCAAGGATCTGTACATAATTTCTGGAAGTTGAAAATGTCCCAGATCTTCCATAGCCTGCATACTCACCAGACATGTTACCCATTGAGCATGTTTGGGATGCTCTGGATCGACGTGTATGACAGTGTGTTCCAGTTCCCGCCAATATCCAGCAACTTCGCACAGCTATTGAAGAGGAGTGGGACAACATTCCACAGGCCACAATCAACAGCCTGATCAACTCTATGCGAAGGAGATGTGTCACGCTGCATGTTGCAAATGGTGGTCACACCAGATACTGACTGGTTTTCTGATCCATATCTGTATTCCCAGTCTTGTGAAATCTATAGATTAGGGCCTAATTTATTTATTTCAATTGACTGATTTCCTTATATGAACTGTATCAGTAAAATCTTTGAAATTGTTACAGTGTATTTATCTTGTGAGAGTGCGGTGGTTTAACCCTTCTAAATCCTCTCCCCTTTCTCTCCCTTCTATCTCTCCATTCTCTCATCCTCTCTCCCTTCTCCTCTCCCCCTCTCTTCCTTCTCCCTTTTCTGTCTTTTCTCCCTCACTCCCTTCTCTTCTACCCTCTCTCCATCTCTCTCCCTTCTCCTCTCCCCCCAGGTGCCTGCAGTGACTCTGACATCTAACATCATCTGGTTCCCTGACACCTTCCTCATGGCCAAGGTCCCGGCTGCAGCCAAGCTTATGGACAAGAAGAGCGTTCAGAGCATTAGAGCACAGAGAGACGCATATCTGCAGCAGAGAGCACAGACTCTCACCAAGTAGGTCCATCAGTCAGTTCATCACATTTCCAAAATTAGTTTTGCTTTAACCCCTTGATTACAGTTGAGCATGAGGGTAGTCATAGTCTGTTTCCTGTGTCCTCGGAGTTAACATATACATACAGTGCCTTCGGAATATTATTCAGACCCCTTGTCTTTTTCCACATTCTGTTACGTCATAGCCTTATTCTAAAATGAATTAAATAAATAAAAATATTCAGAAATCTACACACAATATCCCATAATGACAAAGCGAAAATAGGTTTTTAGAACTTTTTGCAAATGTATACAAAATTTAAACAGAAATACCTTATTTACATAAGTATTCAGACCCTTTGTGATGAGATTGGAAATTGAGCTCAGGTGCATCCTGTTTCCATGGATCATCCTTGAGATGTTTCTACAACTTGATTGGAGTCCACCTGTGGTAAATTCAATTGATTGGACATGATTAGCAAAGGCACACACCTGTCTATATAAAGGTCCCACAGTTGACAGTCAATGTCAGAGCAAAAACCAAGCCATGAGGTCGAATGAATTGTCTGTAGAGCTCCGAGACAGCATTGTGTCGAGGCACAAATCTGAGGAAGGGTACCAAAAAATGTCTGCAGCATTGAAGGTCCCCAAGAACACAGTGGCCTCCATCATTCTTAAATGGAAGAAGTTTGGAACCACCAAGACTCTTCCTAGAGCTGGCCGACCGGCCAAACTGAGCAATCGGGGGAGAAGGACCTTGGTCAAGGAGGTGACCAAGAACCCAATGGTCACTCTGACATAGCTCTAGAGTTCCTCTATGGAGATGGGAGAACCTTCCAGAAGTACAACCATCTCTGCAGCACTCCACCAATCAGGCCTTTATGGTAGAGTGGCCAGATGGAAGCCACTCCTCAGTAAAAGGCACATGACAGCCCGCTTGGAGTTTGCCAAAAGGCACATAAAGACTCTCAGACCATGAGAAACAAGATTCTCTGGTCTGATGAAACCAAGATTTAACTATTTGGCCTGAATGCCAAGCGTCACGTCTGGAGGAAACCTGGCACCATCCCTACGGTGAAGCATGGTGGTGGCAGCATCATGCTGTGGGGATGTTTTTCAGCGGCAGGGACTGGGAGACTAGTCAGGATCGAGGCAAAGATGAACGGAGCAAAGTACAGAGAGATCTCCGGTCCACAGGACAACGAACCTAAGCACACCCCATCCAACCTGATAGAGCTTAAGAGGATCTGCAGAGAAGAATGGGAGAAACTCCCCAAATACAGGTGTGCCAAGCTTGTAGCGTCATACCCAAGAAGAATCAAGGCTGTAATCACTGCCAAAGGTGCTTTAAACAAGTACTGAGTAAAGGGTCTGAATACTTATGTAAATGTCATATTTCAATTTTTTATTTGTAATAAATTTGCAAAAATGTCATTTGTCATTATGGGGTATTGTGTGTAGATTGTTGAGGGGGAAGAAAACAATTGAATCCATTTTAGATAAGGCTGTAACGTAACAAACTGTGGAAAAGGTCCAGGGGTCTGAATACTTTCCGAAGGCACTGTATATGATCTATTATCTCTCCCTGTCAGGGATGTTCAGTCTTACTACGTGTTTGTGACGTCCTGGATGATGAAGATGGAGGCCATCTCGTCGAAGGAGCAGCGCAACGACAAGCTGTCAGAGGAACTCAGTAGCAGGTGTAACATCTTTGTGCAGGTGTGGACTGACGTTATTAACTAACCTTTCAGAAACTGCTCAAACAGTACCAGGGGGATGATTTTATGTCATATTATCTTCCATGTCTCCCCTGCAGGGTATCCTGTATGCCTACAGTATCGGCACCATCATCAAGACTACCATGAACCTGTACATGTCCATGCAGAGACCCATGACCAAGGCCTCCGTCAAAGCCCTCTGCAGACTGGTCGAGCTGCTCAAGGTGTGTGTGTGTGCGTGCTAATTTATTGTTGTGCATTATGATAAATAACTATAGATCAAACATTGTGAATGTATCAAACACAACAGTTGAATGAGGTGTGATGTGACTTCCTCCCTGGTCAGGCAGTGGAGCACACGTTCCACAGGCGGTCCATGGTGGTGGCCGACTCTGTCTCCCACATAACCCAGCACCTGCAGTCCCAGGCCCTCAGCTCCATCGGCACCGCTAAGGTAAACACTACTCTCATCTCAATTCAGGATATTTATTGTGTAGGGAAATTCAATTTACAGCCAGGAGATTACAGAAATGCAACATTTATACACCTTATATTCACATCTGACAAAGAAACACATTTCTATAATTTCTCCCATCAGTTTGAATATGTTTCTCTTCTGTAGAAAAGGGTGATCTCTGACAAGAAGTACAGCGAGCAGCGTCTGGATGTGCTGTCATCACTGGTGATGGCAGAGAATGCTCTCAATGGGCCCAGCACTAAAGAGCGCCGCCTAGTGGTTTCCCTGGCACTCAGTGTGGGAACACAGATGGTACGACCATTGATCAAGTTTCTTCTGCCTAGGGTTGCAAAAGTCCAGTAATTTTCTTAACATTTCCAGGTTTTCCAAAAATCCCAGTTGGAATTTTCCTGGAATCAGGAGGGATTAAGCAGGAAATCCAGGAATCCTCCAACTGGGAATTCATGAAAATCTCGGAATTTGGGGAAAATTAAATGTGAACTGACATGTATGTTATGTTGTGATGGTAACTTCCTCCAAATTATTCCAGAAAACCTTCAAAGACGAGGAGTTGCTCCCACTGCAGCTGGTGCTAAAGAAGCTGGACCTGATCAGTGAGCTCAAGGAGAGGTGAGGGGAACACACGGCCTGGGAAATCCCACTGAGCTAAAGCCTAGGCATTAGCTATAGGACCTAACACAAGTCTTCAGTTCTATTTTAGCAAACTAAAAACCCAGGAAAACACCTGAAACCTAAGTGAATTAATATGAATGTGATGTACCGGTATCTAATATACCACTGTTCACTGATCAGGGTGAAGGTCCAGTGTGACTGTAGTTTCCTGTACTGGCACAGAGCTGTATTTCCGATCTACCTGGATGATGTGTACGACCACGCTGTAGATGCTGCACGGATACACGTAAGCACTGAACGCACCTCTATTCTCTCAGCGTCAAGAGATATCCTTACTCTCACTTTCATAGCATACTAGCCATAAAGATTGTGAACTGCCAGCACTTCTCTACCAACATGTAGCTCGCTGTTCTGCTTCTCATTGGTTCCTGTTGTCTCTCTTGATGCATTGATTGGTCCGCTTGGCTGTCCCTTCTCCTGGTTGTTGGATATGATTCGCCGGACCTGGTGTCGCTCCTCCCCATGGCTGTTTATGATTGGCTGATGCAGTACATGTTCAGCGCCCTGAGGGACAGCGTGCCCACCATGCTTCACGCTAAACACATGGAGTCATGTGACCAGCTACTGGAGAGCTACGACACCGAGATCATGGAGGTGTTCAATGAGGTGAGGAGAGAGGGAGGAGAGAGGTGAGATGGGGTGGGTTAGGGTAGGTCTGAAAATCTGTATACAGTGAGGGAAAAAAGTATTTGATCCCCTGCTGATTTTGTATGTTTGCCCACTGACAAAGACATGATCAGTCTATAATTTTAATGGTAGGTTTATTTGAACAGTGAGAGACAGAATAACAACAAAAATATCCAGAAAAACGCATGTCAAAAATGTTATAAATTGATTTGCATTTTAATGAGGGAAATAAGTATTTGACCCCTCTGCAAAACATGACTTGGTGGCAAAACCCTTGTTGGCAATCACAGAGGTCAGATGTTTCTTTTAGTTGGCCACCAGGTTTGCACACATCTCAGGAGGGATTTTGTTCCACTCCTCTTTGCAGATCTTCTCCAAGTCACTAAGATTTTGAGGCTGACGTTTGGCAACTCGAACCTTCAGCTCCCTCCACAGATTTTCTATGGGATTAAGGTCTGGAGACTGGCTAGGCCACTCCAGGACCTTAATGTGCTTCTTCTTGAGCCACTCCTTTGTTGCCTTGGCCGTGTGTTTTGGGTCATTGTCATGCTGGAATACCCATCCACGACCCATTTTCAATGCCCTGGCTGAGGGAAGGAGGTTCTCACCCAAGATTTGACGGTACATGGCCCCGTCCATCGTCCCTTTGATGCGGTGAAGTTGTCCTGTCCCCTTAGCAGAAAAACACCCCCAAAGCATAATGTTTCCACCTCCATGTTTGACGGTGGGGATGGTGTTCTTGAGGTCATAGGCAGCATTCCACCTCCTCCAAACACGAGTTGAGTTGATGCCAAAGATCTCGATTTTGGTCTCATCTGACCACAACACTTTCACCCAGTTCTCCTCTGAATCATTCAGATGTTCATTGGCAAACTTCAGACAGGCCTTTATATGTGCTTTCTTGAGCAGGGGGACCTTGCGGGCGCTGCAGGATTTCAGTCCTTCACTGCGTAGTGTGTTACCAATTGTCTTCTTGGTGACTATGGTCCCAGCTGCCTTGAGATCATTGACAAGATCCTCCCGTGTAGTTCTGGGCTGATTCCTCACCGTTTTCATGATCATTGCAACTCCACGAGGTGAGATCTTGCATGGAGCCCCAGGCCGGGGGAGATTGACAGTTCTTTTGTGTTTCTTCCATTTGCGAATAATCGCACCAACTGTTGTCACCTTCTCACCAAGCTGCTTGGCGATGGTGTTGTAGCCCATTCCAGCCTTGTGTAGGTCTACAATCTTGTCCCTGACATCCTTGGAGAGATCTTTGGTCTTGGCCATGGTGGAGAGTTTGGAATCTGATTGATTGATTGCTTCTGTGGACAGGTGTCTTTTATACAGGTAACAAGCTAAGATTAGGAGCACTCCCTTTAAGAGTGTGCTCCTAATCTCAGCTCGTTACCTGTATAAAAGACACCTGGGAGCCAGAAATCTTTCTGATTGAGAGGGGGTCAATTACTTATTTCCCTCATTAAAATGCAAATCAATTTATAACATTTTTGACATGCATTTTTCTGGATTTTTTTGTTGTTATTCTGTCTCTCACTGTTCAAATACACCTACCATTAAAATTATAGACTGATAATTTCTTTGTCAGTGGGCAAACGTACAAAATCAGCAGGGGATCAAATACTTTTTTCCCTCACTGTATATTCCCTGTATAAATCCCACCTTCCCCCATCTCTTTCCACACCCCTCCATCTCCCACCCTTCATCACTCCCCCTTCTCAGCACCTGTTGGACAAGCTGTGTAAAGAGATAGAGAAGGACCTGCGTCTGTCTGTCCACACACACCTGAAGCTGGACGACAGGAACCCCTTCAAGGTGGGCATGAAGGACCTGGCCCACTTCTTCTACCTCAAACCCATCCGCTTCTTCAACCGCTTCATACACATTAAAGGTAGCTGCGCACTGCACTGGATGGGCCCCTGGGATATAGCACTGTGGTGTGTTTGTGTGTGTGTGGTTTTCATGTCCTTTACCATGATGTGTGTGTGTGTGGGGGGGATGATATATGTGTGTGGTTTTCATGTCCTTTACCATAATGTGTGTTCAGTCTGTTCTATGCATGTTTGTTTGTGTGTCTTTGTCTCAGAGTATGTCTCACAGTGTGTGTGTCGTCCCCACAGCTTATGTGACTCACTACCTGGATAAGACATTCTATAACCTGACCACGGTGGCTCTGCATGACTGGGCCACCTACAGCGAGATGAGGAACCTGGCTACACAGCGCTACGGACTCATGATGACAGAGGCACACCTACCCAGCCAGACCCTAGAACAGGTGGTGGTGTTTGTAGAGAGATGTTGGTAGAGAGAGAGAGTGTGGGTAGAGAGAGAGTGTGGGTAGAGAGAGAGTGTGGGTAGAGAGAGAGTGTGGGTAGAGAGAGAGTGTGGGTAGAGAGAGAGTGTGGGTAGAGAGAGAGTGTGGGTAGGAGAGAGTGTGGGTAGAGAGAGAGTGTGGGTAGAGAAGGTGTAGGTAGAGAGAGTGTGGTGTGTGTGGAAGAGAGAGGGTGTAGCTGGTGAGAGTGGTGGGTGAGGAGTGGGGTAGAGAGAGTGTGTGGGTAGAGAGAGTGTGTGGGTAGAGAGAGTGTGTGGGTAGAGAGAGTGTGTGGGTAGAGAGAGTGTGTGGGTAGAGAGAGTGTGTGGGTAGAGAGAGTGTGTGGGTAGGAGAGTTGTGGGTAGGAGGTGTGTGGGTAGGAGAGTGTGGGGTAGAGAGAGTGGTGTGGGTAGGAGTAAGAGGGGGGGGTGAGGAGAGGAGAGTGAGAGAGGTTGGCGTGGGGGTAGTTAGGAGAGGAGGAGACAGAGGGGGAGAGTAGAGAGGGGATGAGAGAGTGAGAGGGTTGGGGGGGGAGGAGGAGACGAGAGAGAGGAGACGGTGGGGTGGGGATGAGAGAGAGAGAGAGGAGGAGGGGCTGGGGGGAGGAGAGGAGTGAGAGAAGAGGAGAGGAGGGTGGGGGGGGGGGAGAGAGAGAGAGTGATGGGGGGGAGAGACGAGAGAGAGGTGGGGGGGGAGAGAGAGAGAGGTGTGTGGGGGCGGGCGGCGATGTGGGGTGGCGCGGCCGCGGTGTGGGGTGGGCGCGAGCGCGGCTGTCGGGGGGCGCGCGCAGAGGCGCGTGTGTGGGGGGGAGCGTGGTGTGGGGGGAGAGCGGGTGTGTGGGGGGGACAGGCGAGCGTGTGTGGGGGGGGCGCTTGAGATGGGTGAGAGAGATTTGGTGTGATTGTGTGGTCATTTGAAATGAAGTCATGCTCGCAGATCAGGATTCAATACTGAACTGGCTTTTTCCGCGCTATGGCCACCTTTTAAAGGCAAATGTTTAGCCGGGAGACTGCATTCATGGTAAAAGCTGCATAGGCTATGTCGGCTAAATCGGAAATGACCTTTAAATAGCTCATAGTCGACACAGGCCAGGATTCAATCAAATAGCGCTGTGTCCTTTTGCTCTGGCCAGGGACTGGACGTGTTGGAGATATGAGGAACATCCATGTGTTTGTGTCCCGCTATCTCTACAACCTCAACAACCAGGTAAGAGGTCTCTCTTCCCTGTCTGTCCTGTCTGTTTCACCTGTCCTGTATGTCTAAACTGTCCTGTCCTGTCTGTCTCACCTGTCTGTCTGTCCCTCAGATCTTCATCGAGAAGACAAGCAACAACAAGCACCTGAACACCATCAACATCCGCCACATCGCCAACTCCATCCGCACCCACGGCACGGGCATCATGAACACCACAGTCAACTTCACCTACCAGTTCCTGAGGAAGAAGTTCTACATCTTCAGTCAGTTCATGTACGATGAGCACATAAAGTCCAGACTCATCAAAGACATACGCTTCTTCAGGGAGACCAAAGACCAGTCAGACCAGAAGGTAACGGGGCCTCACTTCACCTTTTCAGCTGTGTGGAAAAACCTGTTGTGAAGTCATACATTCATGGCCAGTCTTTCCCTTTAGATTATAGAATTGAAGAACTAGTCACGAAAGGCTCCGGTTTTAAAAACAAACAGGAGTGTTGCTCCTGGACTGACATTTCCTCTGACTGTATCACTATATATGTATGTTTGTGATCTAGTACCCGTTTGAGAGGGCAGAGAAGTTTAACCGTGGCATCAGGAAGCTTGGCATCACCCCAGACGGGCAGAGTTACCTGGACCAGTTTAGACAACTCATTAGCCAGATCGGTAATGCCATGGGCTACGTGCGCATGATCCGCTCTGGAGGACTCCACTGTTGCAGCAGCGCCATCAGGTACCAGACACAGGGCATTAATAGTATGTTATAACACTTTAAGATATGGAATGTTCTACTCTGTTTGTGTTTCCCAGGTTTGTCCAAGCTTGGAGATTTAGTACTGTAAGGGTTGTGGGTAATGTAGTTCTTGGAGATGTAGTACTGTAAAGGGGGTTGTGGGTAATGTAGTTTTATAGTAAATGGTGAGCCATAGACCCACTTGTGTATTGTGTGTTTCCCAGGTTTGTCCCTGACCTGGAGGATATAGTGAACTTTGAGGAGCTGGTGAAGGAGGAGGGGCTTTCAGAGGAGACCCAGAAAGCTGCCAGGTATGCTTGTGTGTGTGCACCTGATGTATTTCAATTCACACAGATTTAACCAAAACAATTGCTCTCTGTGGGGTAAATAAAGGTTTCTTATCTCTTCTGAATGTGTCTTCCTCTCAGCCTTCTGGACTCTGTGCTGGGGGATCTGACCAGTAACTCTGCCGAGGGGACAGAGTACTTCAAGATGCTGGTGGGAGTGTTCGCCCCCGAGTTCCGCAGCATCAAGAACATGCACCTGAGAAACTTCTACATGATCGTACCTCCTTTGGTGTGTCCTTTCACTCCTCTCTCTATTCATCTTTCACTCATGTCTGAGCACTTCGTCTCTGTTCGTTGGTCTGTCTGTCAGGCTTTCACCCAGCTCTGTGAGCAGTCTGTCCATCCCTCTCTCTTCATTTGTCAACTCCTCTCCTTTGGGATCTATTCTCTCCTTTACGTGTATCTGTTTATCTATCGGTCTCTCTCCCTGTCCATCTCGCTTTCTGTTCTAAAGCGGCTATACCTTCTCTTATACAACCTCTCCTTTCCTCTCCTTCAGACAGTGAATTTTGTTGAGCACTCCATCGGCTGCAAGGAGAAACTCAACAAGAAGAACAAAGTAGGGGCAGCCTTCACAGACGATGGCTTTGCCATGGGTGAGTCATTGTGTTATGATCTTTCACAGATCACTGTATGTAGTAGGATAGGATTAAACTTTCACATTGGTTGTTGATGATTTTCACTGATCTTTGTTATCTCACCCTCATCTCTCTCCCTTCCTTCCTTCCTCTTCTCCCCTCCTCTTTCTCCTTCCTCCCTCTCCAACCTCCCCTCTCCCTCCTACACTTCCCTCTCCAACCTCCCCTCTCCCTCCTACCCTTCCCTCTCCAACCTCCCCTCTCCCTCCCTCCTCCCTCTCCCAACCTCCCCGTCTCCCTCTCCCTCCCCTCCCTCTCCAACCTCCCTCTCGCCCCCCACCCCCCCTCTCCCTCCCTCCTCCCTCTCCCTCCTCCCCCTCCTCTCCACCTGCCGCCGTCTCCCTCCCCCTCCCTCTCCCTCCTACCCCTCCCTCTCCAACCTCCCCTCTCCCTCCTACCCGTCCCCTCTCCCTCCTACCCCTCCCTCTCCCTCCCATCCCCCCCTCTCCCTCACTCCTACCCCTCCCTGTCCCTCCCTCACCCCCTCTCCCTCCTACTACCTCCCTCTCCATCCGTCCCTCCCTCTCCCTCCACCCCTCCCCTCCCCTCTCCCTCCTACCCCTCCCTCTCCTACCTCTTCCCTCTCCTGCCCCAGGTGTGGCCTACATCCTGAAGCTGCTGGACCAGTACTTGGAGTTTGACTCCCTCCACTGGTTCCAGGCGGTCAGGGAGAAGTACATGAAGGAGATGAGTGCTGTGGTGAAGGAACAGAACGTCCAGGCCACCAGCCAGGATGAGAAGCTCCTGCAGACCATGAACCTCACCCAGAAGAGGCTGGACATCTACCTGCAGGTACATGTCTGACCACTGACCTCATATCTAGGATTAGATTATTCAACCTCAAGTCTTAGCTTTGACCATCATGAGGGTTTGACAATATCTGATCCTGGGACAGTAACCTACCTACTGCTGCAAAAGGAGAGGAGGGGGAATATGAGCTTGGCAGCTTTGTATGTAAGACACTGAAATAATCAATTCAACCAATCAATCACTAATGCCCCCTCTCTGTTGTCTCCTTTAGGAGTTTGAACTGCTTCACTTCTCCTTGAGCAGCGCTCGGATCTTCTTCAGGGCTGACAAGACGGCCGCAGAGGAGACCCAGGAGAGGAAGGACAGAGGTCAGGGGTCATGAGGGCGGGCAGGTAGCCTAGCGGTTAGAGTGTTGGGCCAGTTACCGAAAGGTTGCTTGTTCGAATCCCAGAGCTGACTAGGTGGAAAAATCGTTCGATCTGCCCTTGAGCAAGGCATTTAACCCTAATTGCTCCAGGGTCGCTGGCCGTGATCCCTGGCCGTGACCCCACTCTCCGGGGGAGTGGGATATGCAAAAAACTAATTGCCATTTCACACCACACACATGTACATGTGTGAAACAGGACAAATATAAGCGCCCCCCCCCTATTTGACCTTTTGAGGAGGGGTCACTGGGGGAGGTCAATCTGGTTTCCATGGAAACCACTCTGTTTTTGTTTAATTTTCTATTTTACCTTTATTTAAACAGGGAGTCACCATTGAGACCAGGGTCTCTTTCGCAACGGAGCCCGGCACATACAATTCTTGTGACAAAATCAGATCAGTGCAAAAACAAATTAAAATACAGCAGAAAAAACGATCAAGAAAAAGAAAACAGCCACATTCCTCAGCAAATAGTTCTCCAATCTATATTTTGTGGAGGAGAGATGTAGAAATACATTTTCAATTCATGTAATGATGGTTGTGCAAGTTGTGTTTTGCATAGTGTCTTTATGGAGAGTACCAAAGCACTTTACAGGAAGATTAGCTGATGTTATGCCATCAGCTAATGGGGAAAGCTTTAAATCTTGTGGAATAATGTTATGTAAAAATGACCGTCTTTATTTCTGTCTTTCAGAAGTGGCTGCCAAAGCAGTGCCCACCTGTACAGATGGCTCTGAACTTCTAAAAGACTTCTAAGGGACACTCATGACTTCATAGGTCAGAGTTCAAATATCAGTGCTGGGACTAATCTGGAGCACAGGGGCACGCCACTGGATGGAGAGGAGGATAAGGTGGGGGAAAAACGGGCAGAAGACTACTGTCATGTCCTGTGATATAACAGTGAAAGTAGAAGACTGGAGTGTGTTCCTAGAGACATGGAAGCCCCCCTTAGCAGGAAACGGGACAATGATGGAGAAAGATCCATTCTTTGCCCCTGAACTGCTGGTCCTTTGTGTTCTAGATGGGTCCTGGGAGGCTCTGGTGAGAGAGGCAGAGAGGGTTCTAGTAATGATTTGCTTCATGTGATTCTGGTCTCATGTCTGCAAAGCATCTCATGATTATGTCCCCATGGAGGTGTCGCATCATTAATAAAATGGCATCTCTTTCTCAATCGCTCAAACACACGCTCTTCTCTCTGTTGTCTGTCTCTTTCTCTGATTAGCTACTTTGTAGCTTTTAACTGGACTGCTTCTTATCATTTATTTTGGGGGATGAGTAGTGAATGTCAGGCAAAATGTTATTTCTTTTCTGTGGCTACATTTGATTGGTTATAATAAATAAATAATGAGAGAGAGAGACAGCGAGATATGTCAGCAGACTGTTTACTCAGCCTGAATAGACTAGATGTCCAGTGGCACAACAGGCCAGAGATATGATCAAATCAGCAGCTCTGTAATTAATGACTCCGATATCGGGGAGATGATGTGTAATCAATTACGTTGATTGATGGATTTGTATCTGTGTGTACATGTTACTTTCCACTTTTGGTTCTCAGACATAATGCTGAAACTCACGTCTTAATCCTAACATTTATCTGCTACCTCTTCTGCAGTGCTGACATCATAGCCTGTGTCCGTGTAATGTTGAGCATCACAATGAATGAACACACAATAATCGGATGTTCTTGCAGAAGAGAAGAGTGATTTGTTGTGGTAGCTGGATTCTCTGTAGTGTCTCCATAGAATATTATGATGATGTGTGTGCATCACATTTGACTTCATGAATGTTTTCAAAGTGCAAAGACAGACATGACTTGAGTTGAAATGCCAAGGTAGACATTTTATGTTTATATGAAATTCTATTGGATTTCACTCCTTGCCATTGTGATTTTCTTTAAGTTCAGGCCAGGGTGCCTTTTTGATTGTTCAATGATGACTCATATTGTGTATGTTTCTAGACATAAAATACTGGTTGAACATGCCAAGTCATGATGTCATAGGGCCCTGTGTTTTGGGCAATCATGTAACATGACCTGGATTTTAACCTTTATTTAAAGCTTTTTTGTCAAACTGGCCCCTTTTCTTTTTATGTCAATTCGTCCAGCACCATCCTCAGACCGTTGTTTTCATTTTTGGTGTCATTCTCATTTCTGTAAAAGGCTTCAAATAAAGGTTCAAATCTAGGTCATGTGACATGACAGCCAGTGGTGGAAAAGTACCCAATTGTCATACTTGAGTAAAAGTAAAAAATACCTTAATAGAAAATGACTCAAGTAAAAGTGAAAGTCACCAAGTAAAATACTACTTGAGTAAAAGTCTAAAAGTATTTGGTTTTAAATATACTTAAGTATCAAAAGTAAAATTATGAATAATTTCAAATTCCTTATATTAAGCAAGCCAGAGGCACACTCCAACACTCAGACATCGTTTACAAACGAAGCATGTGTGTTTAGTGAGTCCGCCAGATCAGAGGCAGTAAGATGACCATGGATGTTTTATTGATAAGTGCGTGAATTGGACAATTTTACTGTCCTGCTAAGCATTCACAATGTAAAGAGTACTTTTGGGTGTCAGGGAAAATGTATGGTGTAAAAAGTACATTCTTTTCTTTAGGAAGTATTTAAAAATAGAAATAGTAAAGTACAGATACCCAAAAAGAAAGACTTACAGTAAGTAGTACTTTAAAGTATTTTTACTTAAGTACTTTACACTACTGATGATAGCCCAAAACACAGGGCCCTAGACCATAAGTGCACATCGAATAGAGAAATGTAGCCAAGGTTGATCCCTTAGGCTTTGTTTTTGGTTCAATGACATGCCTACAGGTGTCTGTCCACTAAAAATGTGCTTTGATTTTATTATTGAGTGAAGACGAGTTACTTAACATTTACATTTTAGTCATTTAGCAGACACTCTTATCCAGAGCGACTTACAGTTAGTGAGTGCATACATTTTTTCATACTGGCCCCCAGTGGGAATCGAACCCACAACCCTGGCGTTGCAAGCGCCATGCTCTACCAACTGAGCTACACTTAAGAGAGAAAAAACGTTGTTAATGAAATGGTAGCTGTGAAGTGATAGCTAGAATCGAAGGGACCAGTTCTGAGTGTCTTTTGACCAATCAGACTAGTTCTGAAAAATATCTGATTTAATGTGATTGGTCAAATAACAATTAGTTTTTAAAAATCTGAATTTGGCTGCCTGTGTAAACGCAGCCATTGAGAGTGACAGGGTTGGGGTGAGGAAGGACTTTTGGGGAGAACTGTGACCCTAATCCTAACTGTAGGAGAGAGAAGTAGGTGAGTGGGTTGGTTTGATACCCAGGTTGGTTCATTTCAGCCGTCAGCTTGGCATCGTAATTCCAATGTCTTGTTTGTGTTGATTAACCTATAGTAAATACAAGGCATTTGTGTATTTTAACCATGATTAGTGTATTGTATACTTACAGATACAATGTCATAGTAATAAAATAGATTTCTAAAGAAATGAATTGTGTGTTTACTAATCTCTCGCGGACACACTGCATCTGACCAAATTACACAAGATTTTAGTTCTGAGTTAACCGAGGTTGTGTTTACTTGTGTAATTCTTCATTAGGCACAGGCACTAATCACAAACCAATTATGACTTCAAGAAATATCCTCTATTTTGTGATAATCACATCACATGATCTATTATCATCCTAGACCTGTATTAGTCCAACCCTCCCTACTCCTTCCTTCCACACCACTGGCCCAGAGATGGTCCTGTCTGTATCAGCAGGTCAGTAATACACTGGTTATACACAGATAATACAGATACAACTCAGAGGACCACTGAAAGTTGGAAATCATTTCATATACACTAAGTGGACAAATCATTAGGAACACTTTCCATGCATTGGGCCAGTAACTCAAAGATTGCTGGTTTGAATCCCCAAGCTGTTAAGGCTCTGTCAATGTGCCCGTGAGCAAGGCAGTTAACCCTAATTGCTCCTGTAAGTCACTCTGGATAAAAGCGTCTACTAAATGATGTAAATGTTATTGATGTCACTTGTTAAACCCACTTCAATCAGTGTAGATGCAGGATTTTTAAGCCTTCAGACATGGATTGTGTATGTGTGCCATTCAGAGGGTGAATGAGCAAAATATTTGAGTGCCTTTGAACGGGGTATGGTAGTAGGTGCCAGGCGCACTAGTTTGTGTCAAGAACTGCAATGCTGCTAGGTTTTTCACGCTCAACAGTTTGCCATGTGTATAATAATAATAATAATAATATGCCATTTAGCAGACGCTTTTATCCAAAGCGACTTACAGTCATGTGTGCATAAATTTGACGTATGGGTGGTCCCGGGGATCAAACCCACTATCAAGAATGGTCCACCACCCAAATGACATCCAGCCAACTTGACACAACTGTGGGAAGCATTCCTGTGGAACGCTTTCGACACCTTGCAGAATCCATGCCCCGATGAATTGAGGCTGTTCTGAGGGCAAAATGGGGGGTGCAACTCAATATTAGGAAGGTGTTCTTAATGTTTTGTACACTGTGTAAATTCAGTGTCAAATGTGTTTGGTTCTCATTAAGAATGCCCCCCCCCCCCCCCACTTCCCTCAGAAACCAGACTCCACACAACAGTAGTTCAGGAAAGCCTTTTTTGCTTTATTAAAAAGAAAAGCTTTGAACGTCAGAAAATACAAGATTGGTCTGTATTAATTTTTTTCCTTCAAATTATTATTCAGTTTTCCTTTTCCTATGAAATGCTGCTGTTTAAACAGCTGTGATTGAAATGTGTCCGTCTGTCCTCTTGCTTTGGACTTTGGGGGTGGATGTCCTTGTTTTTCCTGAGAATCAGGCCTTTCCTTGTTTGTCTTTTTAATTTGTATTTCTTCGTAAGTGCCCACAGTGCCGAGTGTGATGCCCTGTCCAGCAGATCCAGAAATGTCCTGTTTTATCTACATATTGTACTCCATGCTGACCTCCTAAAGACGAGGTACAAGGCAGGGCAAATTTTTTCTCCAAAATAGATGTCATATATATATATATATATATATATATATATATATATATATATATATACACACATACATATATATATATAATATATACACATTCGTACATACATATCTTTATTCATGTGATGTTCAAAATGTTTTTTTTAAATGTACATGTTTACAAAATCGTAACAAAGACAGGAAAGTGTTTCGCTCGCTCTGGAACAATGAAGCTGGGTAGGTAATCTAACAACCCTTCACTAAAACGGTCTCTGATTTGTATATTGAAGCCAGACAGAAAATACCAGTCAAAAGGAAAGAAAGAAAGAAAGAAAGAAAGAAAGGGATGTGGGGTCGGTGGAGAAATGAGGGAATGTACAAGAGGAGAGATGGAAAGAAAGAAGTGGAGAGAGATGTGGAGACAGGCTACTTATCTTTCCAAAACAAAACATGAGGGAGTGTTTTCACATAAAAAAAGCACAAACAATCTTTGTGTTCTTTTATTACTAAATAGTGCAACAATGAACATTGCATTTCTTCCGCCCTTTCGTTCTCATGTGTGGGATGGTACTTGTTGGCTTAGCCTTCCCCACCTTTCTCGGTTCTTAACACTTTGGGGGGGGGGGGGGAATGAGGCATAACTCTTGTTCTGTCACTGTAAAGTGTGTCGGTATCGTCAGTTTTCCTACCTTGGACCAAACAGGCTTCTGATTCAGAGACGTAAACAAAACACAGACCCTGCTCAAAAACAAAACCAAAATTAGGAAACTAAAGGAATAAAAACAGAACAAGTGGAGGTGTTTGGGCAGCACATCATTTGGGAAAGGCAGGGCTCAGTTTTCCCCACCCTTACGCGGTGGTGAGCGCCTCCTCTGAAGTCATTTTAGCCAGATCCTCAAGGAATAAAAACCAGGATGGATGCCTGGGCTGCAGCGCACCCTCCTCCTCAGGCAGGGAGGAAGGCATGCAGAGACACCGGTCCCCCTGGGACTGTACTGGGCTGGGCCTCAGAATGCCTGCTGAGCTGGGTTGTAGTTGAAGGTAGACGGGACGTGTGGCCTCTCTTCTAGCTTTTCGTACTCCAGGTGGAACTCCTGGAGGGATAGAGAAAATATAATCAGCAATGGAGACGGAAGATCCCTGTTGAGTTTATATTGCCTGAGTGAGGCTACTGATCATCAATATCAAGAGCTGATAACTCAGTGTGACAGACATCACCAGTAACAGAGAGATACAGAAGGACTATCTTGAACCAACGTTAAACACGTACAAGTTCCTAAAAAAATACTTCCACGTAACTCCATCAAAGGAGATTCACAACTCAAGCCAAACACGTAAATCTAAATAGCACACACAGCACTTTCTCTTCATGTTAACTGTATTGATTGAGGGTAGCAGATACTAAAGCCAATACCTTTACCTTGGCTACCTTCCTCCAGTTAAGACAATCAAAGAAGTAGTAGGTCCCCCTCTCGTAGGTGTTGGTCTTTAGTGTGGGCTCCATGCCCGGCGCCCGCGTGATCCACACCCGCTCCTCCTTGTGGTACCGCCAGTCCCGGTTAAACCTGCACCAACACCAGACACAGCCAGGAGAGAGAGAGAGATGCCATTAACGCACAGTGAGTCAGTAAAGATAACAACATATAGAAACTATGGACAACTACTGAAAGAAACCAAAAAGGTGATCCTGGGAAGTTAAGGTGTGCTAATTAAATCTTATTAGTCTTATTTAGATATGATCCATGTTCAAAGACACCTCTCTAGAGAGTGCCTAAGTGAAAGTGCCTTCTGTAGTGATCCTACAGCACTTACAGCTCTACCGCTGCCAGGAGCTGTAGCAGGTCTCCTCCGTTCATGTAGTACAGATAGAACAGCAGGTCTTCACCGTACCGCGCCAGTTTAATAGCTGCCAGCTGAGGAAGAGGAGGAGAGATATCTTTATCAACACAATCATTTGTTTATCCAATTATGACATTGCACTTTCTTACATTTACATTTTACATTTTAGTCATTTAGCAGAGACGCTCTTATCCAGAGCGACTTACAGTTAGTGAGTGCATACATTATTATTTTTTTTTTTTCATACCCCCCGTGGGAATCGAACCCACAACCCTGGCATTGCAAACGCCATGCTCTACCAACTGAGCTACATCCCTGCCGGCCATTCCCTCCCCTACCCTGGACGACGCTGGGCCAATTGTGCGCCGCTCCATGGGTCTCCCGGTCGCGGCCGGCTACAACAGAGCCTGGATTCGAACCAGGATCTCTAGTGGCACAGCTAGCACTGCAATGCAGTGCCTTAGACCACTGCGCCACTCGGGAGGTTCAATACCACTTGAAAGGGGATTACTGATTCATCACCTACCTTGTCCCTTATGTGGATGTTGGTTAAGTACTCAGACGGGACGTGGAAGTCTGAAAGAGAGGAGGCACCAGATCACCAACAGGCTCAGTGCGGTTTGTGTGCGTGTACGGTCAGTGTAATGTCTTACCAATGTCTTGAGGTCGACACGGTGCCGATGCCCAGGGGGAAGCAAACTTGGGGTACAGGTTTCTGTCAGGAGAGGTGGGGAGATGTTACTCTCAACATAGACTTAACTTAAGATGAATAAAAAAATTACTTTAGATGAATAAAAACATCTGACAAAACACTGATTTTGACTTCTGTAGCCCTCCAACCTAATGTTCAGACAGAGCAACCGTCTTACTCTGGAGAGTTGAGGTTGAGTCCCAGCGTTGTGAGGTCACTCCCCAGTGCCAAATGCACCATGCCCGGATCCGTCTCCGCTGCTCGGATAAACGTCAGCAAGCCAATCATCCCAAACTGGTCCGTCACCATTCCCCCGGGAATGTTCGTCACCCGCCCTACAGAGGTGGGAAAATCCACAGTGAGGGAAAAAAATAACCAAGTAGAGCTTTCTGTCCAGCTAACGCAAATGTGGACCATACCATTGGCCAACGGTCATGCAGGAACCATGTCAAAACCCACTGAGGTACCCAGGTTGAGACAGAGAGGTGTGATTGGTTGAGAGGGCTCACCGTCAGGTAACACCTGGATCCCTTTCTTCTGGCTGTTGTTCTGTGCTGAGCTCGTCTTGTCTCCGGGGAACTTAGGCCCGTCTCCAGTGGACGTGCTCTTGCCTGTAGAGTTTAGGTTCTGCACAAAGCAAAAAAACAAATGAATTAATAATCATCTTATTTTTATTACATCTATAAGCCACATGCCATCATGGAACATTGCGTTGAATATAGGATGTCCACTCTACTAATTCTATGGTGAAAGACTTGAATATGCAGTAGCTGTTGTTGCTCAACATAAGGAGGCCTTGTCTAGTTGCCTGTCCGTTTCAGCTTTATCCATGTTTGGCATGACAACGACCAAGGAAAACAGACTGACAACCAGGCTAAAGGCAGCCTGTCTGTCTGTTTGACTCACAGTTTTGCTGTCGTCGTTGCTCAACGTGGGGTCCTTGTAGTTGGGACCAGGCAGTGCAGGGAAGTCCTCGTTGTGGATGGAGAAATCCTGCGTCGGCTCGTTCGATGGCTTCGTCACCATGCCAACTGATGAGGTCATGAGATGAAGAGAAGAGGCTTCTTAAATAAATCACCACAATGAGAAAGAAGTTTAGCCTTGGGTTATATACACACACACCATTGGAGAAGGCCTTTCCCTTTTTCATCACAACTCGCCACAGTTTATATTTGAAAAGAGACTGAAGTGGGCTGAGTATTTACATTGAGAATATGTCTAGCAGTACTGACTGGCCCACAGTAATTTGATGAGTCAGTGATGCTTTTACATGTGCACTGCCAAGTGCCCTTAGCATCCAAGCCTAGTGCATTACAATGAGTCCTTCTTACAGGGAGCCCTTCTTTCTAGTGCACTACACTGAGCCCTTACAATGGGTAACCCTCCTAGTCTAGTCCACTATTATAAACCCTTACTGGTGCACTATTAAAAGTTCTTACCATAGGGGGCCCTTCCAGCTAGTGGGTTAAGTAGCGGCGTTGGGTTTCCGCTTCCTTCCCTCCGACTCCTGTCTGCTAACGCAGGGAAGTCAGACAGGTCTAGCCCCGTCACGTTTTCACTGCCGTCTGTGAGGGGTAGGTTAAAGACTTGTAAGAAAGCCATATGGGTAAAATGGTGTTACTCTTCATGCTGACAGTGTCTTATAGTGTGTGTGAATGGATAGGTAAGTGGATGTTATAAAAACATCAGATAGTTGGTTATTTTGAAGAGACACACTACTAACCTGTGCCATTGAAGATGTTGCTTGATAACGAGTTGTTCATCCCAAACGCCTGGTTCCGGTTCATCCCAAATCCCGACATGCTACAGAAATACAGAGGACAACTTTAGCCTCCAACTGGATCACCTTTATATCTATTTTCAATCATCACAAAAAAACTATTGATGAGTTAGACTTTTATACAGAGAGTTGAGAACAGCAGATGTTTCAGTTGTATGGCCAGCCAGACTGTGTACCTGTTGATGGTGAAGGGCTGCCGTGCAGGCTGCTGTTTGGGCATACAGATGATGCTGGGGGGGCTGCGGTTGGGGCTGCCCATGCTGTTGGTCCTGCCACTGCCCATCCCGATGCCCTGGCCCACCTGGGAGTGATTCAGCAGGTTCCTCGAGTTCATCGGCAGGATCCCCCTGTGGAGGAGACATCACGTGTTAGAGTTAGACTAATGGGTGAACAGAATGGGTTGATATGAAGCCAGGTGATTATTTTACTAATAATGTCCTGTCCTGCTCTGGAACTACTGAACTGAACTGACTGTCTAACTAACTAACTAAACAGCAGAATAATGATTCCATGGCATTTCAACACATTGGCTTATGTGGTCTCTCTGTCTCCAGAATATCTCTCTCTCCAGCATCTCCACCTTACACACACCTGCTTGGCGAGGGTGGGGTATGGAGGGACATGGTGGGTACCCCAGTGGTGGGGGTGATATGGCTCGGTAGCGGAGTGCCTTGCGTTAAGCTGCGGTTTAACTGAGGCGTGTTGTTGCCCATGCCCCTTATTGAGAAGCCTAGTGCACCTGCAACAGGAGAAATAGAAACAGTCAACATGGAACTCTTATCAAATTCCAAAGTGACCAAAAGATTGGATATTTCTCATAGCAATCTTTCGAGATAAACAAGAAGTGTCTAAGGGAAAAGTGTTGAAGTCTGTTTTGAATTGGGTATATTTATCGGATACATTTATAGGGTAATTATTCTAGTAGATCAAATAGCTCCAGGTATGACTTGACTATAAAATTGTTACAGACCTAAATGTATTACAGCCTTAGTAGGAAAGACCCTGAAAACCACGGACAGAAATGAAATTGAACAGATGCAGCCAGCTTACTCTGTGGGCCATATAAACTGGCCCCAAGCTGGGACAGTTGACCTGATGACGACGGTGAGGGAGACGAGAGCATCTGGAGGAGAACGAGAGATAAACCACATAAAGAGAGAGGGAAGGACTGGAAACAAGAATACCAACAGATGACAACACCTTTATCAATAACACATAATTGCACATTAGGGCAGTTCGTATATCATTCTTTACAAATCACGTTACACTGTAATTACAAAGTAATTGGGCTATTCAATTTAAAGGATAATAATAACAACATCAATGCTAAGGCAAAGTTATGGGCATATAGGATGATGAAGTAGCCTAAATCTCCCTAAATATGAAAAATAACCATAAACAGATTTACATTATAGAAAGATTTGGAAAACTATTTACTTACTTCAAGTTCAAAGGGAGCTGTAGCAGGGATGTGCGATCGAGCAGACAGAGCACTTACGTCTTTGTCCGACCGATGTGGGTACATGGACGGCTGGCTGTAGTACATGTTCTCATCAGGGTAGTCGCTTTCCACCCCCTCTACAAACTTCTTTCTCGTAGCACTGAACATGCCGTTTGTCACCTGCAGAGAGTGGGATGAAGGAACAGGTTTTCATATCTCAATTCCTCAACAGTCCATAGAAATTGAGACTGTGGACCAGCATGGTTCACAACACTGTTCATATCAGATTTAAAAAACGATCATGGACAGGACAGGAGTGAAACACAAAACCACGCAGTAGTGTTAGTCCTATGACTATGGTCTACTACACTTTCAGTTTAAACTGGTCCCACATCACATCTCACTACCAGACAACACGCCCACACCTTGCGCAATGTGTGCATACCAGTGCTTGACTTGGAATTAAATAGGTTCCAGTACTCATTTTGGGTGCCTGCACTGTTTATATTTAGGTGCAGGAGCTCCACAATAGTTTTGAGCTATTATACTACCGTATAAGAGGAACAGGAGCTCAAGCAGTAGAAAATATGAGGTGCTACTCAGCTCCTGCCCAAGTCAAGTACGGGTGTATACAGTGTGCCTTACAAAACACATTTACAATCGCCTTTATACTGTTGTTGATTTTCCAATCACTGATATCATGCTGGTGTGTGATTATGCATTGGTCAACATACAGTGCATCACTGCAGCGTTGCCTAAGAACAATTCAACAAGCTTCTGCTCAGGTGCCACTATAAGGTTCAGTTATTATTCTCTACACCAAACTTTCCGTAAAGCATGTTGTGGCTAACGTTAACTAACAATACAGCGCGAGTCTGATTAGTTATAATAACAGTTTGTTCCAAATTCACAGCCGGTTCAACAACAAGCATCACTAAACTAGCTAGCTAAATCCCTCCAATTCAACAACCCTTGTCAGGCAGTCTGCTTGCCTATAGGTAGCGACGTGCAGGTTGGGCCTGTTTTGTCTCCTATCCAGTTCCCAGTACCTCTCGGTCTCAATTTACGCTAGGAGCCACAGACAAAAACAGAGCGCAGAACACCTTTCGAATTAAAATCTGCCCACCCCGTCCAAAACACACCAAACCGAATGACAAGGACTACAAAGATGAATGTGTTGTGATGTGACGATTTGAGTCGGACCAAACGGGTTTATATTTGAGGGAAAAATACTGAAAAAACCTCACCGCATTAATTTCCCTTCTCCTCGTAGCTAGATCCAAGATGGCTGTGTATTCAGTATTCCACAATCGAGAATCCTGGGTGAATAGCCTTTACCCTCTGACCTCTCTACAACCTCCTAACCATTTCCGCACACAAATTATGAATGTTCTACTTCTGTGTCTACAAAGTGGCTAATACACTACAGTATGTATTTGAATAGTATGCAATATAGTTTTTCTAGTTACATATTATTGGGTGAACTCACTATCAGTAGAAAATGATCAGCGCATCAACAAACTCAGTAGGTAAACACATGCAAAAATGATAATAAGCCACTCCCATTTATATTATTTTCAAAACACAGAGGCAATGAACCCAGGCATAAGTGATATGATATCACCGTAGTAGCCTATACATCAGGGATCATCAACTAGATTCGGCCGCGGGCCGATCTTTTCTTGAGTGGATGGTCAGGGGGCTAGTGGTGCACGACTCCAGGATTTTTGGACTCGACTCCGACTCCTGTGGCTGGAGTCGAAAGGAGTCGACTCTTGCTCGACTCCCAAAAAGCGCTGAAACGGATGCGCATACAGGTACATACCACCTCATTATTGCAGTCCTACTAGGAAGACTACATTAGCGTTCTAGAGGACTGACATGAGCATGATGCTGCCCATTTGCTCATCAATTTAGCCTATAAAAGGCCTATTTTGTTTGAATATAGAAGGTGATGTGTAGGAACTAGACTATTTCATTGATATTTCTGCTGTGTTCAGCCTTGACAGATCCCATGGGATGATGCGGTGCACTCTACGCTGATAAGCCTATTATTTGCCATATTATAGCCCTATTCGGACGGGTATTACTAGAGACGTTGGTTTTGTAATTATTATCCAAGCATGTGCATTATTCCAGAATACGATTCACACAGGATTCGTTTTTTCAAAACTGCCCCCTGTAATTCATATATATATATATATATATATATATATATATATATTTTTTTTTCAGATTTAATTGACTGGAGGTTTTTATTGTAGGCGTGAAAATATTTCAACGTCATGTCTAGAGGATAATAGGCTACACTGATAACTCTTGCTTGGCTGGCAAATGTATAGGTCTCCCCATAATATTTACATTGAGGAAGTGTGATCATAATCATTATTTTAATGATCCACGGTAGACGTCCTTCCTAATAACAATGCACCAATAGCCATCCAGGGTTCAATTAAATAATCCATAGGCACAATACTTTTTATTGCACATTTAGGCCTAATTAAACTGATGCATTTGGCGATGTTCAACTTCAATTCACTGACTCTAAGAATAGCTTAACCATACTCATTGATAGTCTAATATATACTTGAATATACTTTTGTTGAATTTACGAGGCGTTGCTAGACAATACATTGCTACAGATTACCAAGATGCCTATGGGCACGGTTCTGACTGTCTGTCTGTCTGCCTGCTCCGATCCTCCCTCTCCCTCACTGTTTCCCTTCGCTTAGTGTGTGTTTGGTCTTCGGTCTGTTGTGTGTAGAATAGCTCAGCGTATCGTTAATAGCCCCTACTTTACTGAACTTGCGCGAGACATTTCAAGTTCAATGAGAAATAGTGACATACACTCTGAATGACCGAAAATAATAAATCCCATATTGGTCTTTCACAGTCAGGCCAACCCAAGCTGTACTGTGCAGTAGAATAACAGTAGGCCTACTATTGAAACAGATCAACTAATTCAGAAATTCACAGGTTTCAGATTTCCCCCAATTTTTCAGGTTTTCGTTCTCAAAGTGACACTTTTTTAACCAGAAAAAGAAAAAAAATGTATGTTCTAATTCCATAACAATGCTTCTACCACAGGTCTGGGAAAAATCTAATACATTTTGATTTTTTTAGAGTAGTTACCCTTTAATTCAAGTGTGCAGTCACCTAGCACTATTGTTTGATCAGCTGTGTTTCTGTAGCACATGAGATGGAGTCTGCAAAATAAATGGCCTTTGGATATGCAAATAATCATCATGATACCATTCTGAAAGGTAGGCATGGAGAAATGCGAGTCGACGGGCAAGGAGTCGAGGAATCGATTATTTTGGAGTCGACTCCCCACCTTACATGGGGCCAGAACATAATTTCAAATAATTTGTAGACTGCAAATTGACTACAAGAAGCCCAAACGGATATAATACTTTACTAAACACAAACCTTGCTTACATTTGGGGAACCCTGCTATACATGATATCCTATTGTATCACCATATCATATTGAGACAGTATGTCACTCACTAGCTACGAATCACCTTCACTAATGAATGTCAATAAGGATTCAAAAACCGTATGTCTATTTCTAACATTTTAAAGCATCTGCAAGGATTCTTATTGTTCTCCATCATTCCATTGTTCTATGTGTTATGCATAACACATTGTATCATTTCATTTGTTAACAGAGCATGTTGGATAAAAGAGGTTGTCCTCTCCAATCTATCTACAGTATGACATTCTATGGAGGGACCACCATATTGCCCACATTTTCTCCCTCATCAGTCGGTAACGTATTTCTGCCTGTCAGAAGCCACCAGATGAAGAGTAATGTGCTGCCTAGAGAGGAGGGCTGGAGCTAAAAACAGTCTGTCAGAGCACAGTCTGCCCCCCCCCAGGTCTGATAAGGGAAATTAAATTCCTGCCCTTTATCTGGTTGGAAAATAGCCCCTAATGAAGGTGCAGGAGATAACTTAGGAAAGTCACACTTCAGAGTGTACTAACGAAACAGCAGATGATACCATACCACCTTCTAGATTGCAGAGAATTACGTAACATGGTTATGTAGTTGAAAATGGTTCCCATGCACATGGTACAGTGAGAACAGATTAAGTCACATATGTGACCAAAAACAAGCTCAAATTCACTCTACAGTAGGGGAGAGTGGGGTAAGTTGAGACAAAGGGGTAAGTGAAGTCCCTCTTCTTCTTCTTCTTCTTCTTCTTCTTCTTCTTCTTCTTCTTCTTCTTCTTCTTCTTCTTCTTCTTCTTCTTCTTCTTCTTCTATGTTATTATGGCAGTCAGCAAACAGTGTTAGAGGTGCATGCCCCCACCTACTGGTTGGGTGAAAACTGATCAACTTTAATGCATAAATAATGAACAAAAAAGGGTGAACAAAAATAATAACTTTACTCCTTCATTCTGATTCAAATGTCTTCTCAGATCCCTACACAGGTTCAGGAGCCTGAGATAGGTGGAACCTCTTCATTCAGTATTCCCTGTCGCGTTTCGGACGTGATGTCCTGAAGATCCCAAAATATTTATGCCACCTTCACAATGATTTCTAGTTTCTTTAATTTTTTATTAGTTTGTCCAGTATAATTTATCACTTGCGCGATAAACACAACAAAGTCTACCTTCTTTACTGTTAGTATCCCAGGATCCCTCTGATGAATGACATTCACTGAGTGGCATCCACTCTCATCTTATCTCCACTTGCTCCTTCCGCTATTTGCACTGCCTACACATAGGAGACCTGCTGGATAGCCCTGATCCTAGCTACTGCAACTGCTTTTACCCTATCAGGGCACTCAGGAGTGTGATTCCCATTACAATTACAGCACTGTGCTTCCTCCGACCCTTCAACAACAACAACAACAACAAATACTTGCCACGTTTTACAATTATACCACTGAAGCGACTTTTGTACATACGTTCTTCACTGCATATCTCACGTTCTCAAATTTTACATGAGTCGGCAGAAAAACTTAATCAAACGACAGCAAAACCGATAGGCTTTCGTCCTTCTTTCCGTCAATCATTGGGGTTAAACGACGTGCGTCTACCACTCCAGGCATGTTCTCCCTAATACACGAAACCTCAATGTCCAACGAGACGTCAGAGATGACACCTTTAATCGGTGCCCTACTCTGAAAATCATAGCTTTTCACATCATACGATAATAGTTTGTAGAGCGACAGCGCTCTCTTTCTGTTCTCTTGACACACAGGAAACATACCGCTTCTGATCACCCTGACCGACTCCACTTTTCCCAATGTGTCCTTTACCATCTTTGAGATCACGAACGGGTCACCCAAAAAAACCATCCTTGCTGGTGAAACACTCCAACAATAAATGGATCTTCATTTCCAACTGTAGACCTTTTCTTTCCATTCTTCTTTCTCACCGTTGTCCACTTATCATTCTCATCAACTCCACTCGCGCCAACAAAATCACACATTGCATCCGTTTCCACCATTTCATGACCCCCATCCATCCTTGTTTCTAGGACACAATACACAAAATGTATCATTTCACAAAATATTTAGGAAGAGGTAATCATTTCATGGAGTCTGTGAAGGAAGAAACCACATGGAAAAAGTGGTAAGCAAGTTAGTTCCAAAAAACAGATTTCATGATGCTTGTACCTAAACCAAAGTAGATCATTTTAAGATCGTTCTATACATCAGTTGGGGTCTCTATAAGTTTCAAAATGAGGTCCTAAACCTAGCATAAAAGTGCATCATTGTAGCTGTGTGGGCTAATATAGTCAAAATGTTTGCCTTTGGGTAAGTTGAGCCAATGGCCATGGGGTAAGTTGAGCAAATGGTTGAGCCAATGGCAAGTTGAGCAAATTGAAGTGTTTTCTTCCAAGGCGTAATGCAAGGAATTATTGCTGGGATATGAGGTAACAACAGGGCCTATGTTAAAAGTGTTTAAAAAAAAGATACTTAAAAGGATTAAAATACAAAAAAGCGATTTTGATTGTGTTGAATTGTGTTTGGGAAATAAAGATAGATATGGTTTATAAAGGTAGTGGTAATATTTAATTCAGTACATACATTTGTAGGCGGCTTAACTTACCCTGTCCCGCGTCTCAACATACCCCATACCCGGGGTAAGTTGTGAAAAGAGACCACTTTTTTTGAACAAGCTATGTTTTCAAAACTGTAATGTTTACATGAATTCTGATTATTTCCAGGGAAATACAACATCCTGAAATATATGTAGATATCTTTGTTAGAAAGAAAACTATGTTTCCCTTGACAGAGTGATGCTGAATGTATAAAATGGCTCAAGTTATCCCACTCTCCCCTATGCAGTCTGGTTCTGCACTGATTCTATCCCACTTCAATCTTCTTTAAAAGGAATTGAAACAGAAAGACTGCATACTGTAAACTTCCCAGAAGCTCATTAACCCCAGCCACCAGCTGTGGATAGGTGTCCATAGCCCTCACACACTCACAGCTCACACCAAGTCAACGTGTGAGCGAAGCAGACAGGACTCCTTAACTTGGGGTTGACAAAGCCCAAGCCACTCTGGCATTTACATCCCCCTGATATGCCTCTTTACTTTTTTTGGAGGCTGTTACTTCATTTTCCACTCCATGCAGCAAACATTTCAAACCACCCGATGATTTAATGCTTTTCCAGTTTGACCAAAACACTCTCTGGCTCTCTCACACGGCTGTTTGCAACTCTGTGCCATAGTTCAGAAACATGACAGCCTCTGCTAACAGTCACAAATTCTGCACATTATTTAAGAGTGAAAGGCCACTTGTGTGGTGATGATAAAGGCATGGCTCCCAGGCTGTGTGATGGCTCGTAGACGGACGGAATGTAGATGACATCCCGTGCTCTTTGATCACTTAACACCTCTTATACGCTTATCAACTGACTACATTCTGTTCTGCAGAACATAGACCCCCCCCCCCCCCCCCCACACTTGCTCTCTCACGTTATGAAGAGGGGGAAAGTCATTAAGCACAAATGGGGAGGAGTGAGCAGCTCGTCATTTGCTACTGCTTAAGAGCCTAGGCAAAGCTCAGAGCCACAGACAGACAGAGAGCGAGCCAACAGAGGTCTGTGCAAGGGTCTGGGAATATCGGCAACACACTCACTAGGTGGGATACAACACTGACATACCACTATTTGGGGGAAAGCTGGCAAGCATAATTTGGAAGTCTTATTGTGAGAAGGATCCCCTCAATCAGCACGACTCTCTAAAGTAGGTGTTTTTTATAGAGACCGTCAAGTATAATCTCCAGCTTTGTGGGGGTCACAACATGCATGGACTGGTAGTTTGACATTGGAATTGCCTTTCTGGGTTTCAGTCAAGTTGTAAGTGTTTCAGTCATCTAGTCATATTTCATGTGTTATTCTTGTTGTTTTTTTGTAAAATGGCATCAGACTTGACAGCTTCTACTGCTGAGTAATCATGAAAGTTAGAGAATGGACTGTCCTGGACTTTCTTCCATGAGCTGCTAACTCCCCCCTCAGCTCTGCGGCTGAACCAGAGTGAGTGTAGGGCAGCATCAGGAAGACTCAGGCTGCTCATGATGGGGAACGTCATACGTGGCGCTGTGGCCTTCATCCCATCCGAGCGCTGCCAGCGTTTCCTGGTGGGCGACCTGAAGGAGATGCCTCTCGATCGGACACTAGACCTGAGCAAACTGCAGCTGCGTCGTCTTCCTATGGCTGCCTGCCTGTTCAATGAGCTGGTCAAGCTCTACCTGAGTGGCAACAACCTGAGCACCCTACCTGCAGACTTGCAGGGCCTGAGGAAGTTGCAGCTCTTAGCTCTAGACTTCAACTGTTTCGAGGAGCTGCCTGCGGCTGTGTGTCAGCTACCTCAGCTTAACATCCTGTATCTGGGCAACAACCAGCTCTGGTGCCTCCCCCGGGAGCTGGGCGAGCTGAAAGAACTTAATACCCTGTGGTTGGAGACCAACTGTTTCACTGAGTTCCCCAGTGTAGTCTGCGACCTCCCCAACCTCAAGACCCTCCATCTGGGGTACAACCAGATAAGCAAACTGCCCATGGAACTCGGTGGGTTGGAGGAGCTGAGGAGTATCTGGCTAGCCGGGAACCAGCTGTGTGAGTTCCCGCCAGTGTTGCTTGCCATGCACTTTCTGGCCGTGATCGATGTGGACCGCAACAAAATCCGACGCTTTCCCGGTCTGTCCCACTTGCAGGGGTTGAAACTGGTAATCTACGACCACAACCCCTGTGTGAACGCACCTGTGGTCGGGGAGGGGGTCAGGAGGGTTGGACGCTGGGCGGACAGCTCGGATGATGAAGAGGATGGTGAGGATGGGTCGAAAGTGTGTGAGACTCCGACTGAGGTGAAGGGGCTTGCCTCCGAGGGACAACTGGACTCACTACTTGAAAAGGGTTGTGGAAGCATCTGACCTTGAACTGTGGCTAGGCTGGAGAACAGGATGCCAGTCAAGTGGAGCACTTACTGGAGAACGGCCTTTGTCTTGGCACACAAGCAGCCAGGCCTGATAGTGTTGGGTTCCAAATATGGTCAGGCCAATGATATGGACCTAAACACAGATGACAAATAATAAGCTGTTACGATTGGTTTTCCATCATGATGAAACTTGGACCTCACGAAGAGCACCAGGAGGAATCTGATATGAAGTTCTCTACTTTTACATCACTGTCTGCAGACTTGAATGATTTTCTTTTGCTCGTTTTCAGTTCATTTTACAGGTGATTTTCCAATTCAATGAATTTCTGGAGACATGACCCACTGGGCACACCACATCATTTCAGCATGGAAATTGGGGTAATATTTGGTTGAGACCTTTATTCACCCACTCAAAAAGACAGACAGAAGTTTGTTGAATTCCCAATGTGTTATCACTATGCTTTCAACCACCTGAAAGCACAACCAAATTCCAATGGAAAAACAATGTCCGATTTTCTGTTTAGTTGTCATCTAAATGTGTTATCACAGCACCTTCAACCATTTAAAAGCACAACAAAGTTAAAATGGTAATACAATGTCAGATCTTTTGTATTTATATAACAACAATGTGTTATCACTGTGCTTCATTAAAAGTACATATTGCAAGTGATCAGTGCTGTTAGAGATTCTGCGCAGATTATTTTAGCATTTGTGAAGATCTCCACAGACCTGCGATCTTTGCATCTTGAACAAGCTTTCTATGATTACATAAGAATACATTTATAGTTACAGTAGGTTAACCTCAAAATGTGGCCATGGATGTGTTAGTCATTTTAAGGTTGAATAAATACTATTACATTAGTTTGTAAGATAGCCTTAACTTTAGGCTATTTACTGTATTACAAAAGTAATGTTGAATTGTGTTTGGTTGACAACGCAAACAAATATAAACATTTAAAGGATATCTATAATGCTTGCATAGTTCCATCTGAGCCACTGGCTTAATCATATTCTTGACATTTAATTTTTGGTTTAGTTGGAGATGTGAATCCAACATATCATTTGATAACTTGTCGACAAATTAATAGGCTATTTACTGTATTGCAAAAGTGATATATAATTGTGTTTGGTTGTCAACGCAACCAAATAATATTTGAACGAGATTTATGTATCTTTTGTGCCACTGAATTAGTCTGACTTTAATTCCAGTCTGTCTACAAGTTAATAATCAAAGTTAAATAATAGGACTACATTTAAAACTTTAAATGCACTTTAAATAAAGTTTGATTTAATTTAGTCCTATTCTTTAACTTAGATTTTTGGTTTAGATGGAGACGTGAATCCAACATATTGATTAACTTGTAGATTAAAATTGAAATCAACCAAAGCTTGTATTGTCTATTTTTTGTTGAACCCTGGGTTGAATTGAAACAATAGCTGTTGACTTAGCAAATGCTATATATGCCTAAATAGTATCATTGATGATATGACTTATAAAGTATGGTTACCCTTTAGAATGACTTTGATAGCAACAGTGAATATATTTAATTATTTAGAGATCCATCAATAAATCATTCTCACGATAGCACATCGGTAGTCGTCAGTGTGAAATATCAAAGCTAAGCAGGACTGGGCCTGGTTAAAAAAACCTGGATGGGAGACCAAATTAATAGCTGTTGTAGATAGGTCAACTCTCCAGTAGGAGGTGCTGCCCAGCCTATTGTTTTTTTTCTGATAGTGGATATACAATTGAAGAGCGGACATTGTTTCAATGGTACAAATTCAACATGTTTTATACAAAAAAAATGTAATGACATAATCCTGTGGTTGAAATTTCAACCTCAAAACAACACTCAAAACAATGTATTTTCCATGTAGATTCCACATCACAATACATTGACAAATTACATTAACACAATGTTGATTCAACCAGTTTGTGCCCAGTGGGAAGGAAATTCTGCCAGGTGACTATTCATAAACCTTTGCTGGGGACTGTACAGTGCATTTGGAAAGTATTCAGACCTTGACTTTTTCCACATTTTGTTACAGCATTATTCTAAAATGGATTAAAATTGTATTTTTCCCCTTCATCAATCTACACACCATACCCCATAATGACAAAGCATTTTTACAAATGTATTAAAAATAAACTGAAATATCACATGTACATAAGTATTTAGACCCTTTACTCAGTACTTTGTTGAAGCACCTTTGGCAGCGATTACAGCCTTGAGTCTTCTTGGGTATGATGCTACAAGCTTGGCACGCCTGTATTTGGGGAGTTTCTCAAATTCTTCTCTGCAGATCCTCAAGCTCTGTCAGGTTGGATGGGGAGCGTTGCTGCACAGCTATTTTCAGGTCTCCCCAGAGCTGTTAGATCGGGTTCAAGTCTGGGCTCTGGCTGGGCCACTCAAGGACATTCAGAGACTTGTCCCCAAGCCACTCTGCTGTGTGCTTAGGGTTGTTATCTGTTTCCCTCGATCCTGACTAGTCTCCCAGTCCCTGCCGCTGAAAAACATCCCCACAGTGTGGTGCTGCCACCACTATGCTTCACCGTAGGGGTGGTGCCAGGTTTCCTCCAGACGTGACACTTGGCATTCAGGCCAAAGAGTTCAATCTTGGTTTCATCAGACCAGTGAATCTTGTTTCTCATGGTCTGTCCTTTAGGTGCCTTTTGGCAAACGCCAAGCGGGCTGTCATGTGCCTTTTACTGAGGAGTGGCTACCGTCTGGCCACTCTACCATAAAGGCCTGATTGGTGGAGTGCTGCAGAGATGGTTGTCCTTCTGGAAGGTTCTCCCATCTCCACAGAGGAATTCTGGAGCTCTGTCAGAGTGACCATCGGTTTCTTGGTCACCTCCCTGACCAAGGCCCTTCTCCCCCGATTGCTCAGTTTGGCCAGGTGGCCAGCTCCAGGAAGAGTATTGGTGGTTCCAAACTTCTTCCATTTAAGAATGAGGGAGTCCACTTTGTTCTTGGGGACCTTCAATACTGCAGACATTTTTTTAGTACCCTTCCCCAGATCTGTGCCTCGACACAATCCTGTCTCGGAGCTCTACAGACAATTCCTTCGACCTCATGGCTTGGTTTTTGTTTTGACATGCACTGTCAACTGTGGGACCTTATATAGGCAGGTGTGTGCCTTTCCAAATCATGCCGATATCAATTGAATTTACCACAGGTGGACTCCAATCAAGATATAATAATAATATAATATGCCATTTAGCAGACGCTTTTATCCAAAGCGACTTACAGACATGTGTGCATACATTTTTACGTATGGGTGGTCCCGGGGATCGAACCCACTACCCTGGCGTTACCAGCGCCATGCTCTACCAATTGAGCTACAGAGGACCACAAGATGTAGAAACATCTCAAGGATGATCAATCGAAACAGGATGCACATAAGCTCAATTTCGAGTCTCATAGCAAAGGTTCTGAATACTTATTAAATAAGGTATTTCTGTTTTTTATTTTGATTAATTCAGCAAACATTTCTACAAACCTGTTTTTGCTTTGTCATTATGGGGTATTGTGTGTAGATTGATGAGGGGAAAAAATGATTTTATCAATTTTAGAATAAGGCTATAACGTAACAAAATGTGGAAAAAGTCAAGTGGTCTGAATACTTTCCGAATGCACTGTATGAACTATATAGTATTGTGAGTAGGTATTATTTTCATGAAAATATTTAATACAGATAATGTCGTCATAGGCTATTATAATTCACAGAGGCAGTGTTGAGACACTTTTTAGCTTTCAGTTGACTAATGACTTTACATAGACCTACCTAATTTTCCACATTTCTCCAGCATATGAAATACTGTCCCTACCTGCCAAGGCTTGTTTCTGTGAGGTGATTAATATCGATGATGGATGGTTAAAGTCAAGCTATGCACCTTTCATCCAGAGTTATGCATAATTTAGGTTATCTGACAGATAGGGCCGTATATTTGATTTAAAGGCTTTTAATGGCTTTTAATATTATCACAGGAGCTTCTTATCTATAATAAAAATTTACAAAAAACAGCGGTATGACACTAGCTATAGAAATGACACACAAGTGGAATATTGTGCTACCTGAGAGTGAATAGTAGCAAACATATGAATGTACTTAATTTTGAGTCTACTACTTTAATGCAATCAAATGTTCACAAATTAAATGGATATAATCTTCTACTAACGCCTACAGGACTTCCTTATGTCATCTTCCCTCATTGATGTTCCCTCACGTCACCCCCCTCCTCCGCACACTCCACTGGCTTCCAGTTGAAGCTCGCATCCGTTACAAGACCATGGTGCTTGCCTATGGAGCAGTGAGGGGAACGGCACCTCCGTACCTTCAGGCTCTGATCAGTCCCTACACCCAGGCGAGGGCATTGCGTTCATCCACCTCTGGCCTGCTGGCTCCCCTTCCTCTGCGGAAGCATAGTTCCCGCTCAGCCAAGTCAAAGCTGTTCGCTGCTCTGGCACCCCAATGGTGGAACAAGCTCCCTCACGACGCCAGGACAGCGGAGTCACTCACCACCTTCCGGAGACATTTGAAACCCCACCTCTTTAAGGAACACCTGGGATAGGATAAAGTAATCCTTCTACCCCTCCCCCCCCCCCCCAAAAAAAAAAAAGTATAATTGTAAAGTGGTTATCCCACTGGCTATAGGGTGAATGCACCAATCTGTAGTCGCTCTGGATAAGAGCGTCTGCTAAATGACGTAAATGTGCCCTTGAGCAAGGCACTTAACCCTAATTGCTCCTGTAAGTCGCTCTGGATAAGAGCGTCTGCTAAATGACTAAAATGTAAATGTAATGTTCCCTATACACATGCAATATAAATATAATAAATACACAAAAACAGGTCTTATAAAACAGCATTGGAACTGTGATTTTATAGGTTAAATATACAAGATACAAAGATGTTTATTTTGTACAAATACCCACTCCCTTTGACACCGGATGTGTTGTGGATAGTTTCTCTCTTTTTTCAACGGTACAATCAGCAACGCCTTTGGCTCCTTGGGCTAGTGCATTGGCGCTGCAACCATATACCTCAGTGAGACCAGCGATGGGAAAGAAAACTCGCACAGGAACAGGAGGACGCAGAACAATACTACAGCTTTTCCCACCTCGAAGCGGGACCGTCTGTGGAAGAGAAGACTCTTTAGGTTCAGTATCCGAAGGTAAAAACATGAAGACACCATCATATTTTATGTTTTAGTTTACGGTCGGTGGATGATTCGTTCAAAATCGGGCCCATTTTTCGCTGATCACACATTGGAGAAGCTAGTTAACTGGCCTAGCCGGTGATGTAGCTTAGCTAGCCAGTCGTTCAAAATGTAACGTTATGTTCCAGAAATTAATGTTATTGTTTTACTTGTTCACTATATTTAAATAAGTAGTTCAGACGCAATGTAGGCAACGCTGTTTATTGATTTGTGGGTGTTTCGCGGGTTCTAAAGTGTTAACTAGCTAGGTAGCCTAGCCAGCTAACGTGACTGTTAGTAGGCTAACATACTGCGCAAAGAGCGAGTTGTAGTCGCGTGCGGCCTGTTGTCTGATTTCGTGAACAAACGCTGCATAAACCAGCGAACTAGCACGATGACAATTTATACAACTAGCTATGCCTATCAATGGTAGCTAGACTCGCACTACTGAGCCCTCTGCTCAATCCAGACCACATACCTAACGTTAGCTAGTTAAATGATCGTTATTCAGCCACTTTAACAATTGCAATTATGCGTGTTTTGCAGACGAACAGGAGGGTAACTCTGATGAATACAGTTTCCCAAGAGAAGTAACCACAGAAATGAGGATGCCCGTTAAGGCCACAGGTAAGATCAGAAATTATGCACATCCCCTTGACTTTTTCCACGTTTTGTTGTTACAGCCTGAATATAAAATTGATTAAATAGAGCTTTTGTCACTGGCCTACACACAAAACCCCATAATGTCAAAGTGGAATAGAAAATGAAACGCTGAAATGTTTTGAGTCAATAAGTATTCAACCCCTTTGTTATGGCAAGCCTAAATAAGTTCAGGAGTAAAAATGTGCTTAACAAGTCACGTCATAATTTGCATGAACTCACTGTGTGCAATAAGTGTTTAACATGATTTTTGAATGACTACCTCATCTCTGTACCCCACACATACAATTATCTGTATGGTCCCTCAGTCGAGCAGTGAATTTCAAACACTGATTCAACCACAAAGACCAGGGAGGTTTTCCAATGCCTCGTGAAGATCAACTATTGGTAAATGGGTTAAAATAAAAAAGCTGACTTTTAATATCCCTTTGAGCATGGTGATGTTATTAATTACACGTTGGATGGTGTATCTGTACACCCAGTCACTACAAAGATACAGGCATCCTTCCTAACTCAGTTTGCCGGAGAGGAAGGAAACCGCTCATGGAGCAAATGGTGACTGACTTTAAATCCGTTAGTTTAATGGATGTGATAGAAGTGAGGATGAGTCAACATTGTAGTTACTCCACAATACTAACCTAAAAGTATTATTTTTTTAGTCATTTAGCAGACGCTCTTATCCAGAGCGACTATACATTTTTGTATTTCATACTGCCCCCCCCGTGAGAATCGAACCCACAACCCTGGCGTTGCAAACGCCATGCTCTACCAACTGAGCTACATCCCTGCCGGCCATTCCCTACCCTGGACGACGCTGGGCCAATTGTGCGCCGCCCCATGGGTCTCCCGGTCGCGGCCGGCTACAACAGAGCCTGGATTCGAACCAGGATCTGTAGTGGCACAGCTAGCACTGCAATGCAGTGCCTTAGACCACAATGTGGCAATGAAATTCACTTTATGTCCTGAATACAATGTTTGGGGCAAATCCAACACATCAGAGTACCACTCTTCATATTTTCAAGCATGGTGGTGGATGCATCATGTTATGGGTATGCTTGTCATCAGCAAGGACAAGGGCGATTGTTAGGATAAAAATAAACGGAATAGAGAAAAACCTGGTTGTCTGCTTTGCAATTCACCTTTCAGCAGGACAATAACCTGAAACACAAGGAGAAATCTACACTGGAGTTCATTACCAAAATGACATTGAATGTTCCTGAGTGCCCTACTTACATTTTCAAGCAGATTTAAGTTAAAACTGTATGTCAAGACTTAAATGGCTGTCTAGCAAAGATCAACAATCAACTTGACAGAGCTTGAAGAATTTTATAAAGAATAATGGGCATGCTTTGTACAATCCAGGTGTGCAAAGCTCTTAGACTTACCCCCAAAAAACTCACAGCTGTAATCGCCACCAAAGGTGCTTCTACAAAGTAGAAGGTGTGAATACTTATGTAAATTAGATGCATGTATTTCATTTTCAAGAAATGTGCAAAAAAAAATTCACTGTCATTATGGGGTGTGTATTTAATCCATTTTGAATTCAGGCTCTAATACGCTGTGGAATAAGTCAAGGGGTATGAATACTTTCTGAAGGCACTGTATGCCATATTGTGGTGTGTGTGTCTTGGCATATCTCTGCTTGTGTGAATTTGGTTCAAACCCGGGTCTCCTGCCATAAGACTGTCATCCTGCTGAGCTCAAGCCTATGCATTAGCTGGGGGAGTTAACAAAAGACGTCTTCGGTCCTGTTTACTAATCGCGTGCACACAAGCATGGTTGCCTATGTACATTACCTGACCAGCAACTCTTGTTTGTGCGTTTCTCCTCAGAGGGTCTGTCCCTCCTGGGGGCCTATGAGGACAGTGATGAAGAAGAGGATGCTGACTTCCAGCCCCCCACCGTCAGAACCCAACACCAGTCTGCAGACATACTCGCCAATTTCATGGCCGTGAGTATATCAATACTGTATTTCTGTTAGGGCTGTTCCCGACCCCACATTTGTTTTGGGTCGACAGTCATCGGTTCTTGTGACCAATCGCAAATGTTTTCCCTTCAATTTTTCCATATAGACACACCCTATGTGTTTTAATAAAATCAACTATATGCACCGAGCTTGTTTGTTTTAAGCACACTGTTTGAAATAATTAATACACACAAATGACTCGCGGGAGCCAGATCAAGATGACCAGAACCTGTTCATTACCCTCCTCCTGCTGGCCTTTGCAGATTCTGCCATTACGCGCCTGAAGTTGCCGGTAATATGCTACACCAGGGGTCGGCAACCTTTTTCATGTGGAGTGCCAATTTACAATTTCTTACTATTTCTACCGATCTGCGTGCCAGTTATGATTTTATGCAAATGTTTGTGGAACAGTTTCATTTCAATTATAATAACTTATTTTTGTTATATTGCCAACTACGGTGAGGGAAAAAAGTATTTGATCCCCTGCTGATTTTGTACGTTTGCCCACTGACAAAGAAATGATCAGTCTATCATTTTAATGGTAGGTTTATTTGAACAGTGAGCGACAGAATAACAACAAAAAAATCCAGAAAAACGCATGGCAAAAATGTTATAAATTGATTTGCATTTTAATGAGGGAAATAATTATTTGACCCCCTCTCAATCAGAAAGATTTCTGGCTCCCAGGTGTCTTTTATACAGGTAACGAGCTGAGATTAGGAGCACACTCTTAAAGGGAGTGCTCCTAATCTCATTTTGTTACCTGTATAAAAGACACCTGTCCACAGAAGCAATCGATCAATCAGATTTCAAACTCTCCACCATGGCCACGACCAAAGAGCTCTCCAAGGATGTCAGGGACAAGATTATAGACCTACACAAGGCTGGAATGGGCTACAAGACCATCGCCAAGCAGCTTGGTGAGAAGGTGACAACAGTTGGTGCGATTATTCGCAAATGGAAGAAACACAAAAGTACTGTCAATCTCCCTCGGCCTGGGGCTCCATGCAAGATCTCATCTCGTGGAGTTGCAATGATCATGAGAATGGTGAGGAATCAGCCCAGAACTACACGGGAGGATCTTGTCAATGATCTCAAGGCAGCTGGGACCATAGTCACCAAGAAAACAATTGGTAACACACTACGCCGTGAAGGACTGAAATCCTGCAGCGCCCGCAAGGTCCCCCTGCTCAAGAAAGCACATATACAGGGCCGTCTGAAGTTTGCCAATGAACATCTGAATGATTCAGAGGAGAACTGGGTGAAAGTGTTGTGGTCAGATGAGACCAAAATCGAGCTCTTTGGCATCAACTCAACTCGCCGTGTTTGGAGGAGGAGGAATGCTGTCTATGACCCCAAGAACACCATCCTCACCGTCAAACATGGAGGTGGAAACATTATGCTTTGGGGGTGTTTTTCTGCTAAGGGGACAGGACAACTTCACCGCATCAAAGGGACGATGGACGGGGCCATGTACCGTCAAATCTTGGGTGAGAACCTCATTCCCTCAGCCAGGGCATTGAAAATGGGTCGGGTGGGTATTCCAGCATGACAATGACCCAAAACACATGGCCAAGGCAACAAAGGAGTGGCTCAAGAAGAAGCACATTAAGGTCCTGGAGTGGCCTAGCCAGTCTCCAGACCTTAATCCCATAGAAAATCTGTGGAGGGAGCTGAAGGTTCGAGTTGCCAAACGTCAGCCTCGAAACCTTAATGACTTGGAGAAGATCTGCAAAGAGGAGTGGAACAAAATCCCTCCTGAGATGGTGGCAAAACCCTTGTTGGCAATCAGAGGTTAGACGTTTCTTGTAGTTGGCCACCAGGTTTGCACACAAGTACTAAGTCATGTTTTGCAGAGGAGTCAAATACTTATTTCCCTCACTGTATGTAAAAATAGCCTACATAAAGCTAACACATAAACATTGCAGGTAGAAAATATCCTGATAAAAATATTTTAAAAAATCCTATAAATCAGATATATAAATGCAACATGTAAAGTGTTGGTTTCATGAGCTGAAATAAAATATCCCAGAAATGTTCCATACGCACAAAAAGCTTAGTTCTCTAAAATGTGAACTGTAACTCCGTTAAATTGTTGTATGTTGCGTTTTACATTTTTGTTCTGTAATAATTACGTTTCCACTGGATCAGAGCATGACATTTTTCCATTTCACGCAGAAGCTCAGTGGCTATCGAAAGGGAGAGAGCTGGAAAGACTATTGTTCCCAATGGATGTAAAAACACGTAGTTTACTTGCTTTTTGAGGTGAAGAGGGATTACTTTGAGAAGCTCCATGGGTCATTAGTAGTGGTGAGTTAAGACGGTCAGAAATACTATCAGACATCCCCAAATGAGCACATTTCATACATTTGCGTGCGGGCCATGTAGCCTAGGCCTACTATTACTTACTCAACATTGACAGGAGCGCTCCAAACAATACAATAACCACATTGACAACTCGTGAATTAAATCAATCGAAACTTGTTTCTCACAGGTGTAGCATAGGTTGTGAGCTCTGCAAACAATTTGTCCACTCCGACAATGAGAACGGTAATGGACGATAATATATTGAATGCATTAACAGAAATAGCTGTAAACAGATTAGAAATGATGGGAATTAACTGTAAATGTACTACTGGTGATCTACGTAACGGTGAATGATACACTAAACAAAGGGCAAACGATTCACACAATTAAGTTATGAAACAATTAATGCTTATGAGTTGGCGAGAAAGTGCCTTCTGTAGAGAGACGCGCCTTGTGCAAGCCATGCTTCCCTTCACTCAACATTTAAAAATTATACCTAAGACGCGTTATTTTCACACATACTGTAGGCCTAAGGAATATTATCTCACTGTGTCTGGTCCAAAGCAGTAGCCATTTATGGAAAACCAATGCAATTTCACTTTTTGTCTATTTTTATGAAATTACTTGGTATGCCAAGGCAAATACCTTCGCGGCACGCGTGCCTTACGTCACCGATGCCTGTCTAGAGTGATGGACTGTGCCATCCCCGCAGCCTCCGCAATGGATTAGTCCACTGTCAGGTGCGAATCAGACGGGTGTCTCGTCTGCCATTAAAATGTTTATATAATTGCGACTGCTCGACTAAAATCTGTCGCTCAACAGCCTATCGACCAGTCTACTAAATGGGGTCAGCCCGAATTTGTTTTTCACTCTTTTCGTAGTTGTCTTAAAATGCTATACACGTGATTGCCACGTGTTGGCCTTTATTTCCCTGCTTTAAAAAAGTATTTAGACAAGTGGTGTCCTTCAACAAACTTTAACTGTCTCACCCCCAAATAGGAAATTGACGCCATCACTACACAGCCGGGCTCAGAGGAGCCCACAGGGGATCGGTCGGCCCCAGCCCCCACCCCACCACGTCCAGAACCCAAAGCCCAGCAACATGCCTCTGAGATGGGGACAGAGCTGGAGAGTACTGGGGTGGACTTCCAGTATGATACCCATACTTCACTCGCTGGAGGTGACCGGTTTTATTGTATTTCATACATTTGTGCAGAACTTACCTAAAAAGTAGCAGTTGGCCATTGTTTTATGACGTGTGAAGTGTGCGGTTCTGCTGATCTAGAGTTCCTTATTTGTTTCCTGTCCACCAGTGGGAGGATTGGAGATGGGGGACTGGCAGGAGGTGTGGGATGACAACACAGGTTGTTACTACTACTGGAACACTCAGACCAACGAAGTGGCCTGGCAGCTGCCTTACTACCTGGCCCACCAGGTGCAGGGCCTGCAGCAGTACGCAGACAGGTGAGGTGTTAATTACTACCTGGCCCACCAGGTGCAGGGCCTGCAGCAGTACGCAGACAGGTGAGGTGTTAATTACTACCTGGCCCACCAGGTGCAGGGCCTGCAGCAGTACGCAGACAGGTGAGGTGTTAATTACTACCTGGCCCACCAGGTGCAGGGCCTGCAGCAGTACGCAGACAGGTGAGGTGTTAATTACTACCTGGCCCACCAGGTGCAGGGCCTGCAGCAGTACGCAGACAGGTGAGGTGTTAATTACTACCTGGCCCACCAGGTGCAGGGCCTGCAGCAGTACGCAGACAGGTGAGGTGTTAATGGACGGTACAACATAATACACAAATGTTAGTCATACACAAGTGGTTTCCTACGCCACAGCATGACTCTGGAATGTGTTTCTACTTAGTTTTAGATTGGACCTGTTTTCTATTTCATCCCCAGTAGCTCGACAGTCAACGGCAACGGCGCTACTCAGAGTGCAGGTTGCTATGCTGAACAACACTCCACTGCTGTTAGTGCCCTGACATCGAAGACAAAAAAGGTGAGTTATTAGAGTACTTTTGTATTCAGTGTGAATCCCAAAAAAAGTACTCTCCTGCACATTTGTTGGCAAAAGTGTGGCTATGCCTAACGCTGTGTGTCTCTTTGTCAGGAGGTGATGGAGAGTGTGGTGGCCCTTACCAGTGAGGAAGAGGAGCGTCGTGGTGTGGCCGCCTCTCTCCTCGGTCCCCTCATCCCTGCGGCGGTGAAAGAAGCGGAGGAGAGGTGGAGGAAAAGGCTGGTGGGAGGGCTGGAGGAGAGGGAGAACAGCTTGGAGGATAGCCTCCCAGGGTCCCCTGCTCCCCCCCTGAATGAGCCAGATACCCCTGCACACCCCCTGAGGGACCAACGCAGCAGGAACCAGTCTGAGGAGGACTCTGATGCAGAGGAGATGGAAGAGGACACCATGGAGCTGGAGCTGGCTCTGGACAGGAAAAAGGTCATCTTATGTTTTATTCATCCTTTATTTAACCAGGGATGTTGCATGTACATCTTTCAAGTTAGTTTATATATTGTGACTCTTTTGAAAAGGTCACAGACAAATGTTGACAATTCAACACGTGCAGAATTAGTGTGTCCGGTCGGGAGTTATCCTTTACCATGAATCCAACATGAGCATTTGTCCTCTTTGTCCCTCTGCCCCCTAGGCCGAGCTGCGGGCGTTGGAAGAGGGCGATTGCAGTGCGGGGGGCTCCAGCCCCTGTTCTGAGGCCAGTCAGGAGGCCACCGGGCCTCGTAGTCTGCTTCTGAAAAACGCCAAGTGGAAGACTGCCTTCCTCAGAGCAGCCAGCCCAGACTCAAACAGCAGGGGCTCAGATACACGGGAAGACCCAGACACAGGTGAGTGTCTGGAGAACCGTTAGTGTGCGAGCGATCCAGTCCAGATACACAAACTCTGAGCAGATTACATTATTATATTGTTCGGATGTGGTTCATCCTGGGATGTTAACACTTCTCTAGGACCAGGGCTGGACTTTTTTTAGCCACTTGTCCTTTGGACAAGGTAGGACTTCTTAAACATTTTATTTTCACTTGTTCAAAAGCTCAAATCACTTGGTCGGTAACACCATTGGCCAAAAAGGTAAATTAAAATGGGTGTATGAGTCAAGGAACCACTTCACAAAATAACATTATTACTGGTGTTGACAATGGAAGGCTGCTGGTCTCTGATCCCATGTATTATATCTCCTGCATTTGTGGCCTTGAGCAAGGCACTTAACCCCCCCACAAAGTAATATACTGCACTGATGGGCTACTGTATAAAACACGTGGTCCGTTAACCCTCCATCTGGTGAGCTACTGGGTGTGCAGGCTTTTTATCCAACCCTGCTCAAACACACCAGAGGCAGCTTATCAAGGTCCTGTTGAGCAGCTGTTTCTTTTATTGTTTTTTACAATGTGGTATGTTTGAGCAAGGCTTGCGCAAAAGCCTGCACACCCAGTAGCTCGTCTGGCCTCTCCAGGAAGAGGGTTGGCCACCCTGGCACTATACAATTACAACAAACTACTTACAGTATGTCTTTATAAAATTATTCCCTCATTCAATGAACCAGGAATCAAATGGCTAAGATGGGCGAGGTAGCTAACTAAGATGTTTATCTATTTTGTAAGGTTAAATAATTCAGTGTTCAGGGAAGATCTTGACAGCATAGGTGTTACTTTGTCAGAATTACATGGCCAATATTGAATTGTGGAGAATCCTAGCCAATATCGAGCGCTTGAGACTGTTTTACAACCGGAGTATGCAGTATTGGTTTCATTGCTGACCCAAAATTAGCTATAACTGGGCAAATAACTCACTAGCAATTATCAACAAATGTACAAACGTGGCTAGGCTCGCTTTGATCTCAAAAGAAAGACTGCTCATGTCTGTCAATGCGGGACTACAATTATTATACTCCGACACACACTGCAGAGATTGGGAGGACAGTGAGCAAAACATCGCATCCGGAGAACACTTTGATCTAAATCCGATCCAATTATGATCGGAGTAGCCTAAGTATTTGATATTGTGTTTTTTGTGTGATCTTTTTTACTTGTCCATTCATACAGTTTAAATCTATAATCTGCTTATTCGTAAAAAAAAGAATATATATATATATATATATATATTAAAAAAATTACTTGCCCCTTTGCAAGCGAACACAGTTAATGTCAAGCCCTGAGGACTTAAGATCTGATATGCTGCCCAGACAAACTCTGTCATACACATGTAGGGTTAGCCTTAATACTAGTCCTCTTATGCATGTTTTGCAGCACATTCCAAAGTCCCAGAGAAGGCTGGGGAAGAGGAGGACAAGGAAACTGGGGACAAAACAGTTACTAAAGTGCCACCAAAGGAGGAAGTGGAAACTCCAGAGCTCAAGGTACTGAACCTTTATCAACTCTCACACCAATTTAACTCTTCGTAGTAGGGCCTCCGCATGAGAACCATGGGCCTACTCATGAGTGATTTTAAAATAACTGGTGGCTAACTAATTAATAAAATGTTTTGAATGATCAGTTTCAGATCGGAGAACTTGCCAACACCTTAACCAGCAAGATGGAGTTTTTGGGGATCAACAAGATAACTATCTCCAACTTCCAGCTTCTTCTGTTACAGACTGAGGTAGGAGGACCATGATCTGTCATAGTTTATCTACAGTGACAGCCTATATCTATAGGTCCAGATTATATTCTCTTTGCTTTTAAACCACACTAGTTGGCTAGCTGCATCTCTCAATGATGAGAACTTTCACAGACCTGTACTGAATAACTGTGATTGCAAGTTATCGTTCTGATGGGAGATGTTTATTTTTAAAAATTAATTTGATAACATCCTCTCCTCATTTTAGAAAAAAAAGGTACATGCCTAATGGTCATTGTCCCCCCTCCCTTTATTCCCCTTCCTTTCTCTCAGACGCGGATCGCTGACTGGCGGGAGGGGGCTCTGAACGGGATCTATCTCCGCCGCAGGCTGCAGGAAGCCGCCGAGCACATAAAACATTACGAACTTAACGCCGCCCCTAAAGGCTGGTCGTGCCACTGGGACAGGTACGCGCTCCTTACCTTTAACATCTCTAATCACCCCCCAAGCCCTGTGACAACGACCCCCTCAGAGCTGGGGTCGCCACCTTTTTACCTGATATGGGGGAGATCCTAACTAATCTGTGGATTAAATGAAATGGAGACAGACCCTCAAGGTTTCTGTGATGCAATGCTGGCACTCTGCGCTGCCAGTGGTGATGAGGGAGCAGCTTGATCCCCTAACACTACCACCAGAGAAAGGACCCCCTGTCCTGTCCAACCATAGCCCAGACTCTGGCGCTTGTCTTTGGGGTGGGGGGGTGGGGGCTCTGTAGGCTGTTTTGGGTGTCCAGACAGTGGAACAGAGGTACAGTAGCTAGGAAGGTGGTTGTGTGCGAGAGCTTTGCACTTTACAGGACTACAGCCCCAGAATGCATTGCTGGGCGACATGATTGACAGAGTGACGCCCCGGAAACGAGGAGTGTCACAAACCGCGTCAGTTAAAGCGAAGACGGAGCGTTGACAAGGACCCAGCAGGTCAGACCAACTCTATTTCATGTTTCCTGTTTTTTCCTTGATTGACTGAAAATTGATAGATATTGCTGATGTAAAAAAATATTGTATAAAGTGTAATGTTTTTTGCCTTTGGTTGTTGAGTTGAAAATCAAGATGCCTATCTCTCTGGCATCTATGTTTGGGGGGCAAAAAGTTCTGTGTATGTTGTCATAACAACCATTATGTGAACATCTGAACCCTGCTTTGATTGACTTTGCAGGACCCAAGCTGTTTGTTTTGTTTTATTAATTTGGTTTTGAGAGCGTTAAGGTGGGTTCCCCATCAATGTCACCCATCCCGATCTAATCTGGCCTTTTCTCCTGGATGGCTAATCTGGCTGTCCAGCCCAACATTCCCCCTCTATGTGGCAGTCCCATATCTCCCCTCCCCCCCCCCCACTGCCCAAGGTATACTGCGACTCAGCCAGTTATGAGGCCAGCTGTTGAGACTGTCTTGTATCTCTGTTCTCCCTCCTTCTAGAGAGCAGAGGAGGTATTTCTATACCTACGACCGCACCAGTGCCTCCCAGTGGGACTTCCCAGCAGAGGAAGAGCGGGAAGAAGGAGCGAAGGCGTCCATACAGGAGGAACCCAAACCCCCGCCCGTACCCACTGGTGGGCTCGCAGTCGCAGGTCAGTCCCCAAGACCCTTTACTGTCCTCTTACAGCCTCCATATCTACAGGTCCAGATGAATCTCTTGGCCTTGAACCACACTAGTTGGCTAGTTGCATGACTCTCAAGGAACTTTCACAGACCTGTACTGAATGACTGAAAATCTGAAGGGAGATGGACAGCTTAGCGCATTTGGCTTTCAACGAGTAGGTCTTGAGCTATGGAACCCGCCACTGTCATATGTTACTAACTAGTCAGTATTTGGTTAACCTTAGTCCTCTGACAAAGAAAGGGTACACAACTAATCCCAGCTTTTATACATTTTCTATCATATTGCAGGAGCTTCAATCTTCACACCCATCGTCCCCCCTCAGCCTGGCCTTCCCTCCTATTGGTCTGTGCCTCAGCCCCCACTTCCCCCTGACCAGCCCCCTCCCCCTGCTGACTCCCCCCCGCCTCCCCCTCCACCCCCAGAGTCACCGCCCCCTCTCCCCCCTCCTCCCCTGGATGATGATGGAGAGATAGAGGAGGTAGAGATGGAGGAGGATGATGATGATGACAGTGAGCCTCCAGCACCTGGAACAGAGCCTCCACTCCCTCCGGGCTTTGTCGGCATGAAGGTATGTGACCAGCCTTGTCCAGCAGTTGTCAAGTGCTAGTCAGTGGGCTTGCTGGTTTCTGTTAACATGACTCTAAATGATACATTTTACAGACCTGTACTGAATGAATGTGATTGCAACCCCAAAAAAAATCTGATAGATGTGCTTAACAAGCATTTTGTTGGACATTAGCATAAGATGGGCTTTTACTGTAAGCTTATCTTTTTCAGTATTTTCTCTCCTCTCAGGTTGTGGAGTCTTCAGCCTCCCTGGGTAAGAGTCAGAAACGCAAGGCTTCAGGAGCAGGTCAGCTGACCAAGGCTGCAACCATCGGCAGCAGCGCCATCCTCTACACACAGACCACAGCAGGTAAAAAGCCATGACGCCGTCATCCAATCAGCCTGCTGGTTTTCATATTAACATTACTTTTGAAGTAGCAGGACTCTCTATGATGAGAACTTTCACAGACCTGTACTGAATTACTGTGATTTAAGTATTTTTCTGTTGGGAGATGGGACCGTAGTGTCTCACGGTATAGGTGTTTTAGTGAGATCATAGTTGACTTTTGTGTTCCGTCCTGTGTCCTCAGCACCTGTGATGTCAGGAGCTGCCTACTGGGGTGTGTCTGCGGTAGCTACATCTCCACTGCCTTCTGAACCAGTGGCCCCACCTCTCCCACCTCCCCCAACCCACCCCCCGCTACCCCCCACTCAGGCCCCCTCTGCCCTGGACCCCACAGGGCTTAAAACACTGCCCACGGACAAGACCAAGAAACTGAAGAAGGATAAGGTGGGTGTCTTTGATTTTAATATCCAATTAGGGATGTGACAAATGTTTGACGCTTAAATGTTTAAAAAAAGAATCGTAATGATGTGAATTCACAATCCAGATATGGTTCTGCGTATGACCGCTAGGGGACAATGCAGTTCAATCTACCGCAGTCCTGGCTACCTACTTACCGTTCGTCACTAGTAACCACAGCCACAAAGTCATAAAGCCCACCTATTTCTACAATTTCTTGTTTTTGTAAATTGTTACGATCTAGGTAATTTTGACTATGGCTGTGGAAACCCTACCAGATGGCGCTCACCTTACTTACAATTTTATCAATTTTAGAATAAGGCTGTAATGTAACAAAATGTGAAAGTCAAGGGGTCTGAATACTTTCAGAATGCACTGTACAAGGGGAAACCCAGCCGCAAGATGCCCAGTGATGCGAGCCTACGGGCTAAATGCCTTTTTATGCTTGCTTCGATGCAAGTAACACTGAAGCATGCATGAGAGCACCAGCTGTTCCGAACGACTGTGATCACGCTCTCCATAGCCAATGTGAGCAAGACCTTTAAATAGGTCAACATTCACAAGGCCACGGGGTCAGACGGATTACCAGAACATGTACTCAGAGCATGCGCAGACCAACTGGCAAGTGTTTTCACTGACATTTTCAACCTCTCCCTGACAGTCTGTAATACCTACATGTTTCAAGCAGACCACCATAGTCCCTGTGCCCAAGAAAGCGAAGGTAACCTGCCTAAATGACTACCGCCCCATAGCACTCACGTTGGTAGCCATGAAGTGCTTTGAAAGGCTGGTCATGGCTCACATCAACACCATCATCCCAGTAAACTCTAGACCCACTCCAATTCGCATACCGCCCCAACAGATCCACAGATGACTCAATCGCACTCCACACTGTCCTTTCCCACCTGGATAAAAGGAACACTTATGTGAGAATGCCATTCATTGACTACAGCTCAGCTTTCATCACCATAGTGCCCACAAAGCTCATCACTAAGCTAAGGACCCTGGGACTAAACACCTCCTTCTGCAACTGGATCCTGGACTTCCTGACGGGCCGCTCCCAGTTGGTAAGGGTAGGCAACAACACATCTGCCACACTGATCCTCAACAGGATTGCGTGCTTAGTCCCCTCCTGTGTTCCCTGTCCAAGTTCCTTGGTGTCCACATCACCAACAAATTACCATGGTCCAATCACACCAAGAAAGTTGTGAAGAGGACACAACAACGCCTTTTCCCCCTCAGGAGACTGAAAAGATTTGGCATGGGTCCCCAGATCCTCAAAGTTGCGTTGAGAGTGCCCTGACCGGTTGCATCACCACCTGGTATGGCAACTGCTCGGCATCCAACCGTAAGGCGCTACAGAGGGTAGTGCGTACGGCCCAGTACATCACTGGGGCCAAGCTACCTGCCATCCAGGACCTATATACTAGGCGGTGTCAGAGGAAGGGCCAAAAAATTGTCCGACTCCAGTCACCCAAGTCATAGACTGTTCTTTCTGCTACCGCACGGCAAGCGGTACCGGAGTGCCAAGTCCTTAACAGCTTCTACCCCCAAGCCATAAGACTGCTGAACAATTAATCAAATGGCCACCCGGACTATTGCATTGACTGCTGCGACTCGCTGTTTATTATCTATGTATAGTCACTTTACCCCTACCTACTTGTACAAATTACCTCGACTAACCTGTACCCCCGCACATTGACTCGGTACTGATGTAAATGTATAAAGCCTCATTGTTATTTAGTGTAACTTTTTTTTTTTCTCTTTAAAACAAATGTTTTACTTTTGTTTACTTAGTAAATATTTTCTTGCCTCCATTGTTGGTTAAGGGCTTGTAAGTAAGCATTTCACGGTAAGGTCTACACCGGTTGTGTTCGGCGCATGTGACAAATAAAATTTGATCTGTTCTATGCATTGATGAGGAGAAAGGATTGTGAAAGATCAGTAGACTAATTCAATGTAATAAATCTTTCAATTGAAAGCGTCTCCTAGTTGAATCAAACCACAGTGACGCTGTTAAATGACAATCGCCCACTCTCTCCTTTATTCCCCTCATCCCTGGTTGCTGTGTCCAGTCAAAGAAGAGCAAGACGAAGATGCCGTCCCTGGTGAAGAAGTGGCAGAGCATCCAGAAGGAACTGGATGAAGAGGAGCAGTCTAGTTCTAGTGACGAGGACCGAGACCAGCTCAACAAGAGGAGCATCGAGGAGTGGAAACAGCAGCAGTTACTCACGTAAGACCCCCCCCCCCCCCCCCCCCCCCCCCCCCCCCCCCGATTTATAAATTGCACATTTCTTGGACCGTGTCAACAATCACGCTGTAGGCGTGCTGATCTGGGATCAGGTCACTTTCCATGTATCTTATTCATAATGATCTAAAAGGCTAAACTGATCCTACATCGGCACTCCTGCTGTGAGACGCTTGATGCATACAGCCTCTGATAGATAGATAGATAGATAGATAGAGATATATATATATATATATATATATATCTCTAAAAAAATAAATTAGTCTGTTTGATCTCGTCCAGCAGTGGTTACAGTTCCTTAGTGTACCTGCTGGTTTTTGTTGACTGGACTCTTTTAAAGTATGATGAGAACTTTCACAGACCTTTGCTGAACTACTGTGATGCCACACAATTTTCTGATGGGAGACGTGCTTCAGGTTTTTATATTTTAGCTTCTAATACACACATTTTTGGTGAAAGGCAGTAAGAAACAGATTTATCTGTTGGATTGCAGGGGAAAAGCTGGAAAGAACGCCAACTTTGAGGCTTTACCTGATGACTGGCGAGAGAGGCTGTTGAAGAAGAGGAAGATGATGAAGAACACGTAACACACTCCCCTCCCCGCCTACACACACCCCTCCTAAACCTGACTCCAAACGTTGGATAAGAATCAGAGGACTGACTGTATGTGCACTTTTGACTCTTTCACTGTCATTTTGAAACAGGTTTTGAAAAGCCCTTCATATCTTGGTCTGTGAATACATTGGATGGATTTTTTATTTTATTTTTTATTCTCGGCTGTAAAACCCACTAGTGTTTTTACATGTTAACCTACCAAACTTCTCTCTCTCTCTCCCTGTTTAAAGCATAAATGCTGTTTTCTGTGAAACGTTTGGCACAAAGAATTCTGGAGTTTATAAATATTTGTTTATAATGGAGATCAACTCTTGGTATGTTTTGACCTCCCCATGTTCCTCTTGGCCATTTAATAAACTATGATTAATAACATCTTCCTAATAACTGCAGTTTCTCTGAAGTATCAACTGTTCCATTTATTAGAGGGTGGATGGAAATGCAAGGTGCTGTCTTTTCTAATGCTTCAACTATAGTAATTCACAGTACTTTTAGGTATATCCAGAACATACACTTTCATCAGGGTTTCTTGTTACCTGACTTTGGATGGGAGTTTTAAGTGATGTATAAAAGTGCATTATCACATGACCTAATAGTGGAACCTCTTCATTGCAACACTACTTTCTGCAGATTTGTCAATTTAAACCAGTAGGTAAAATGAGTATTCAACCCAGTACCCATCCCGCTATATGTCTCTCTTCTCCTTGTCCAGAGTTAGCTAATTCATGATGACACTCCAATAACACAATGTGCCATTTATTATATCCTGATAATTGCAAAAATATATTTCCCTGTGCTGAAAACCATCAAGACTAGTTTGGTGGGAAGGGGAGTGTCTTTTTTTTGGTGGGGTGCAGTTTTTCAGCTGTGTACATTGCATAGGCCTATGTCTTAATGAACATCAAGAGTGTTTTACTATGATGGGGGGTGGCAATCATTTTGTATTCAAGTTCAATTTGGGGGGGGGGGGGGGACTTTTAATTGTCAGTTCATTATTAATTTGGCAGTGCCATCATGGGTATCTTCATTGACTGTTTTCACCTTTTTGGGACTGAATTATGAGTATCCACGGTCAGTTGAGGGTGATGGATCATGGCTAGAAGGGATGCCGCTAATGTCAGTGTTGTCAAATGTTGCATGTTTGAGTCTCGTCTGAGAATTTTTGCTAACCCTTAACCTACTTCTCCTAACCAGCGTAAGTTCTAACCGGTTTTCCTAACCTCTTCTGACATTTGTCTTGTTGGACATTGCAGCCGACGGTGCAAGCGACTGCCTGCTGACTGATCTACAAATCACCTTGCATCATAACGACACTGAACCAAAATATAAACGCAACATGTAGTGTTGGTCCCATGTTTCATGAGCTGAAATACTGTCCCATATGCACAAAAAGCTTATTTCTCTAATTTTAGGTAAAAAATTGTTTTATATCCCTGTTAGAGAGCATTTCTCCTTTGCCAAGATAATCCATCTACTTGACAGGTGTAGCATATCAAGAAGCTGGTTAAACGGCATGATCATTACACCGGTGCCCCTTGTGCTGGGGACAATAAAAGGCCACTCAAATTTGCAGTTTTGTCTCACAACACAATGCCACAGATGTCGCAAGTTTTGTGTGAGCGTGCAATTGGCATGCTGACTGCAGGAATGTCCACTAAAGCTGTTGCCAGAGAATTGAATGTTAATTTTTCTACAATAAGCTGCCTCCAATGTCGTTTTAGAGAATTTGGCAGTATGTCCAACCGGCCTCACAACCGCAGACTACGTGTATGGCATTGTGGGTGAGCGGTGTGCTGATGTCAACATTGTGAACAAAGTGCCCATGGTGGGGTTATGGTATGGGCAGGCATAAGCTATGGACAACGAACACAATTGTATTTTATTGATGGCAATTTGAATGCACAGCGATACCGTGACAAGTTCCTGAGGCCCATTGCCATGCCATTCATCCGCCACCATCACCATGTTTCGGCGTCGATGTGGTTGTGCACAAGATTGCAGTGGAGGAGTTGCCTATTTAGGGTTGTATTGCACAAAGTGAGTTCATTTATGGCCACAAGAAGCAAGAAACCCTCCAGCACCAGCGTCGGAGGGAAAGTGATCCCAAGCCCTACTAATTGCCTACAGGAGGGGGTAGTGGGCAAACTGGCCCGGAATATGCTATTTCAGGGCCTTGAGGTCCCCATGAACGACCTTTAAGCTACATTATGAACTGGTGGCAAAGCTTTGTCCTCTGATGGTAAGCACAATCATGGGTACTCTTCCCCTCGCTACAACCATAAGCAATCAGTCACCTATTCAAGAAGCAGTGATGTCTTCCTAGAAATTCCATGTTGAACAGCTGTGTGAGAACCCTGTACCCAATGTCTCTGAGACAAACGTTATGGTCAGAAGGGCCAATCTTTGAGTAAGATTGAATCTGGCATGCTCTCCCAGTCTACATTCCACGCCGGAGTTGGTTGTATACCTGGGCCTAGATTCACATTCAATTAAGAACAAATCCAATAACTTTATTTTCAAGAATCTAATTTCTTAACTTTTTGCTAAAGGAGAAACATAAGAAATGGTGCAAGAACATTTCCAATAACCTTTTTGAGGAATAGTAACTTCAGACACTACAGACAGAAGTTGGCACATCAGTGTTACCGGTTTCAGACAAGTCCCGTGACACTTGTAGAGCAAAATGGAGAACAACATCGTGATCGCGAGATTCTCCCCTTTCCAAAGAGGTATCATAATAGTTTGTAGGCCAAACCGGTCAGACGCTTCAGACGTTTCCGTGAGAAGAACGATTTTCGGGATGTCTCATGGTCTGACAAACACCGCTGTAGCTCGACCTCCTTCCACCACAAATGCTGAAGGGCGACGCAGTCCATGCAAAAAAACGTACATTGACGGATTCTGATGGGGATTTTTGTATTATGTTACTTAGATTGACGCACGTGTGCGTCAATAGACTCTTAAGGATTAAACTGGCAGGATCCTAGTTGAGGACGTGACTAACAAGTTGACTAGTGCTCTGTGAGTGTGGGTGACTAACAGGTGGAGCGAAGCCAATGTCTGCCTGAAGACAACAGACATCTTTCAGGTGGTGCTGTCTGTGCATAGAAAGTTGATGGCACAGAGGAAACACTATAAAATATACTATGCCACAAGGTACCCAAGCTGCACAAGAACATTGGATGCACCATCCAAACTTCAAGGCACCGAAAAACTGGAATCTACAGCCTTGAATTGACAGCCTTGTTTAAAGAAATTATGACCCGTCAATCTTTGAATAAGAAGGCTGAACAGAGCAGCATCAATACTGAGATTGAACAGCCGTGGAACAAGTGATATCCGTTTCCACCAGCTTCATCAGGGAGCTTCTACTAGAAGATGTCCTGATGAAGCTTGTCAAGAAAATATGCCCTATGCCAAAAATGGCCAAGCGTCAGTGTATTCAGATAAGTGATCTGGTCACAGAGCTGACCAGATTGGTTGACGGTGAAGTGGCCAAAATATCTGATTTAGGACATGAGACAAGTTTGGATTCCAAGATGGCATCGAAGCTGCACAGACCTTGGGAGGGTCAAGTGTTTGAAACACTCCTTGAAAATGTTGGATTTCTTTGAAGATCAGGAGATGCTCTCCATTGTCTCCACCATTGCCCTCAGTGCCCACCCCATATGACAGCGATGCCTCAGACCTTGAGGACTCATGCAGTAAATCCTGCAGCAAGGATGATGTGGAGGAGGAGGAATCTGAGGGGGTGAATTATGCCAAGATAAAACAAGCCCAGATTACTCTTGAATGGTCATTTGCTTGTGCTTTTTGATATCGGTACCAATAAGTATAATTATAGGAATATGTAAAGGAAGTGAGATTGAAGTTTAATTGTGCATCCTTGAATTCTGTTCACAGTCCAGAGTGAGAATCGCCCTTGCAGACACTACAGACCAGCCAGAGGTGGACATTACCTTGGATTCTCCCCCTGTGAGTGAGTATTCCTGGGAGGAAATGTTCTCATAGACTTGTTGGCTGACAACGTCACAAAAATGATGCGCACCCATCGCAGAGGCAGAAAGATGGGTGTTATGATTCTGAAGAGTCAGATAGCTAACAACAAGCTTGTTGTATCTCGTTATTGATACCATGTCTTGTTTTGAATCATGTCATGTCTATACTAATATGGCAAACATTTGCTAGCTAGCTAACCAACAACTGTAATGATATATTTGAGCGACAATAAGTGCTCATTGTACAAATTGATTTGTTTTCAATAAACATTTGGAGATGAAGTATAGTTTATATGTTGTCAACAATCTAAGCCGTCCACGTCTGTTTTGCCCCATAGTTGCGGACGTGTCGGTTTTGATGCTAAACAATCAACCCGTCTATGGGACAATTTTATATAAATAAGTATAAAGATATAAATAATTAATAAAGATATGTTTTATCAGACAATTATCCATCTGATAGTCTTACACGTTTTTATCTTGTCAGGTAAATTGTTGGAAGATAAGGAAGGGTATCTGGGGCTTCTTCCAGGAGTCCGGAAGGTCTGGAAACACTTGGTCACCTGCGAGTCCTCTGAGGGGTAACCTGGATGACATGCAGCCCATGTCAATTGCTTTTTCCAGGCTACATCTGAGGAGGACACCTCAACGGGCCCAATACTCTTTATTTCTTTTTTTTGTTAATTTTTTAAAAACTAAAGTGTCCCTAAAGCTACTACATTTGAACCAGGCTGCCAGTGGACTAGCCTACTATTAGTTTTGTGGGGATCTAGATGTGATGCCTAGCTTAGAAAGAATGCATTAATGATTAAACATAAAAGGTTTGTACTGTACTGATATAAATTGTTTCACATAACAAGCTGTGATTCATGTGAGGAGCTGTTAGGGAGTAGGGGGAGATAACAACTTGTGTCTCAAATGTCTCACATACACGAACACTGCCTTTTTGTTAAACCGCGCTCAAGGACGTGTACTGC